GGGCACTGCACTGTTCCTAAGATTTTCAAGTCTGACTTTCACAGAGCACTTAAGGGTACTTTACTGTCCATACACCGCTGCTGCTCTCAGTACAGGCGGACAGGATTCCTACTTTGACAGCATGGCCTTGTGGTCTTAGTGACTCTAATTCAGTGTTTCACAACCTGTGAACCTTAACCCTTTTGGGGGTCAAATGACCCTTTCACAGGGGTTGCCTAAGATTATCGGAAAACACAGATGCTTACATTATGATTCGTAACAGTGGCAAAATTAAAGTTATGAAGTAGCTATAAAAATAATTTTATGGTTGGGGTTACCACAACACATGCAACTGTATTAAAGGGTCACGGCATTGGGAAGGTTGACAACCACTGCTCTAATATGTTATTGCAAAGAAAAGTATTTCTTAGAGGAAATGATTAAGATGACCCGAGCAAGAGCAAGTATTTGAGCCTCTTCCACTCCAGGCATTCAGGTGGCTGCAGAGTCCTCATTGTCCTGCTGCAGTTGGCCTCACATGGTGAATGTCTAGGGTATTTGTCTCCATCCACATTGACAGCTTTCGTGATTAATTCTGATGCACTGGCCGTGCCGTGGTCCTAATTAGGGTTACTGAGCTGACTGACAGGTAAGGTGGCACTGTAGTTATGGCTGCATTCCTTCAAAGGGATCCCTCACAGTTGCAGGCATCCTTCTGTTTCTTTAGGCATGTATGAGCTTCCTAATTGATTGTGCAGTGTTTACAGCTAGATAGTAGCTACCATTTAGTGTCAGCTGTGTACCAGTGTCTGAGCAGCGCTTTGTATACACTAAATGCCAACTCTGTGTCCTCCAAGAAATATTATCTCCATCTTAACAGAGCAAAGACAGAGGCCGAGCCTGGTTATTGATTTGTCTGGCACTTGGTAAATAGGATGAGGGCAGTATTCTGGTCTAAAAATGTTATGCCTTTTGCTCTGTGTCATTCACTGCTAAAGCCAGCTGACTCTTAGTTCTCAGAATTAGAACCTGGGAGTTAATTTCAAGGTTGTCTGACAAATTACCTTGAAGTTGCATGGTATTTCAGAGTTTGTAACCTTTCTCCTTTCGCTCTACCATGTCCACCTCAGAATCCATGGAAGTTTGTGGTAGAGGGGTAGAGGGAGCCTTTTCATGTGTTCAGTTGGTGGGGGCAGGGTTATGTCTTTGATATTTTTGTAATGCATGTCCTCCCATATTAGCTTTAACTTCAGTAGAAGATAATATTTAAAAGCCTGTGCTCCTGAGTCAGATCATCTCAGTACTTCCTGACTGTGCCACTCTGACCCCTGCCCTCAATATTCCATTAGTCAAAAAATAAGTTTGTCAGTGTACAAAAGCTTGAGGAGATGTAATGAAACAACCCATGCAACCCATGTTGCTGGTGATAGGTAAGCACAATGGGAATTCACTGTTGGTTGGTGGCAACACTACCTGATTAGGTTGCTAATACCACTGAAATACTGTGTTGTGCTAAAATACATGGCACTTAGGAGAGAGTCGGGCCTCGTGGCTACAAGAATAATGAAAACTCTTTTGAGTCTTTTAGCTTATAGAAAATAAGAATTATTTTCTATAGAAAGTAGAAGTATTTTCTATAGAAAATACTTCATATAATTGTAAATATAAATTTATTTTAGAGGGACTGAGGAGATGGCAATTCCAACACAAGGGCCCGATCCTGGTCCTGGTCCTAGCGTGCATATAAAAGGCTGGGCAAGTGTGCTGTGTATGCCTGTAATCCCAGCCCTTGGGAATGAGGAGAGGAAGGTCCCTGAGGTGGGTTGGCCAGCCAGCCTAGCCTTCTTGGTGTAGCCTATAGGTTACAGTGAGAGACCTTGTCCCAGGAGACAGGATAGGCATTTTGAGGAATTATACTAAGGATGACCTTTGGCCTCATAGACACACACACACAGACACACACATACACACACACACCAAAAAAATAGAAAAGATAGTAGTAAGGTGGTAGTTTTTGTCAACTTGCTATAAACTAGGGTATTTTGCAATTAATTGACATTAATTGAGGAATTGCCTCCAACAGACTGGCCTGTGGACATGTCTATGCTAATTGTTGTAAGAAGGCTCAGCCCACTTAGGGGCTGATTGTCCTGGGTCGTATTAGAAAGCAAACTGAGCAGTCCACAGAGAGCAAGCTGGTCAGCAGTGTTATTCCCTGGTCTTTCTCTCAGTTCCTGCCTCCAGGTTCCTGCTTGAGTTCTTGCCCTGATTTCCTTCAAGAATGGACCGTGACATGGACATGTAAACCAAAAAGATCCTTTCCTTCCCAAGTTGCTTTAGTCAGTTATTTCACAGTGAAAGAGAAGCAAATAAGAGCAGAGAGCCAGGTGAGCAATTTCAGTGGCATTAGCGATCAGAAAGCAGTGGTCTGGCTGACTTTATTAGTGCCCTACACTTGCATGGAAAGTGAGTCTATACAGGAATTTGTAGTCACAGCCTAAAATATTCCCAGCAATTGCCTTGTATCTTTGAATAAAATTAAGTGACAAGAAGCCCTGTTCAGCAGACCTTTGGAGTCATGTTTTTCTCTACCTGTCCTGCACTGCTCAGCTATTGTGCAGAGTCTCATTGTCTGTTTATTGACACAGAGGAAACCAAAGGACAGTCACATGGGCAGATTTCCTCTTGCTGCCCAGGAGGTATTGAAACCTGTGAACTCTAGTCTGAAGAGCAGACTTACCAGGCTCAAGAGCTGCAGGGAAGGCTATGTTCAAGAGTCTTGACCTGAGCTCCTTATGCACCAGCTCCCTTTGAGCAGGGGGAACGGGGGATGGGTGAGTACTCCCACCTCTGTATGATCTCAGTACCCAGAGAGGCTGGGGATGATGCTAGGGGTTGAGTCCTTGCCTTGTGTTCACAAAGCCTTGGGTCAGCTCTCTCTCTCTCTCTGTGTGTGTGTGTGTGTGTGTGTGTGTGCTTGGGTCAGCTCTCTCTCTCTCTCCCTCTGTCTCTCTCTCTGTGTGTGTGTCTCTCTCTCTCTCTTACACACACACACACACACACACACACACACACACACACACACACACACACACACAGGACCTAGAAATTAAGTTGTAATTTTAGGATTTGAGAAGGAACTTTAGTTTTTGAAGAACAATGTGTTTCTGTAACTGTCTACGTTGCTTATATAACATGCTTAAACCCTTCAAGGTAGTGCATGTTCCCCAGCCATCGTGAAAGAAAATGAGAGCAGTCAGCTTGTGCAGAAAAGGGGAGACAGTGCTAGCACAAACACTGACCTTAACAGAAGTTATGTGAAAAGAAAGATCTAATTTTGTAATTGCAGATAAGGACGAATTTGATGTTTCCCAGTTGGCCAGAGCTTTCAATCCAGTAAACAAGAGATGGGAATTTAAAAGTTAAATTCATTAAATGTTGCCAGATGTTCTGTTGCATTGAGTCCTACTTTTTACAACTCCAAGAGAAGCCTAGAAGGTATTTCAGAAGTTATGTCTAAGAACCTTCTCCCCACCTTGTGTGACACTAGGAACCAAACTCAGGCCTTCCTGCGTGCTAAACACGAACCCCACTGCCTATCCCAGAGCTGTGTGGGATGGGTATAGTGAGGTGAGATGGTAAGTCTCTGTGCCGGTGAGCTGGCCCTCGGTCCAGCTAGGGTCTGATGTGAGGTATGTCACTCTAAACTTTCAGAGCTGCTGATATTAAGGACATACTGTTCAAGAATTTTCATTTATAGCAATGAACTCATATGAATACAAGCCTGAAGAATATTCCTTTTTTTTTTTTTTAAAGAAATGTGATTTTGAAGCCAATCATAGGTATTGAGTTGGGTTAATTCTAGGGTTAGCAGCGGTGCTCAAGTTCTATTAGTGTATGTATGTATATATTATGTATGTATTATTGTATGTATGTATGTATTAGTGTATTAGTGTTTGTATGAGAAGTATTGGCTTCTCTGTTAACATGCTGGAGGTTAAAGAAGAAAATAGCTTATTTTAGAATTCAGTTACCAATTATAATGCTTGTTGCTAGTTGGTAGCTTTATCAATTATGCTTTCATTTTCTTAGGAGCCCGCACGCACACACATACAAACACACACACACACACACACACACACACACACACACACGGAGTAATTAAAAAAAATTTACTACTGTATATCAGTAAATGTTTTTTATGATTGCCTGTGCCTTGAAGAAAAATCAACAAAATGCGAGGCTTAGATTTTTCACTCATTTTAATATTACTGTATTGTGGTGTATAGTAAATATTCGAGATGAATGAGCTTTTCTTTTTATAGCATAATGTTCCCAAAGTCAAGTAGAGAAGAAATTGATGCGCCTTCTCTGTGCCAAGCACGCAGGAAGCCACTTTCCAGCTGCCAATGCTAGGTCATGTGGTGTTTCACCCTTCTGGTCCATGCAACAACCGAGGCAACTTTTTAACAGTCCATTGCTATCTATAGACGCTGAACTCATGTTTATTGCGCTTTATGCCAAACTGATCTCTGTGTGTGTCTTGATTTGGAAGTCGGAGAATCTGGTTTCCCTTTCCTGCTCAGATGTCTTGTGTTAGTCTTTCATGCCCTGCATATGCTTATTTGCTGTAGTTGGCAGGTTTTCTGGTTCTGACATTTGATGGCGATGAAGGGGAGTTCACGGTGAGGTATGTAAGTTGCCCATCACCAGACATACTCAGTTTTCTTGTGTTCTAATGGATGGGTTTTCCCCCCAGGATGTACTCTGTGACTCCCTTAAGGTCAAAGCCAGCACTGTGGAAGACAGTCAGCAGTGAGCCTCACAGGCGACCCCTGCTGGCTGCTGTTATTTTTTCACTCCCACTACTGCTGGGCTTGGCCCTCAAGGAGCTTGCCATCTTCTGGCAGCTCACTCTCCTGCTGTGCTCCCGATGATCCACCCTCCCCCACCCCCACCCCCGTGTTCACTCATGTGAGGAATGGGGCTCTAATCCTACGTGGGTTTCTGTTCATTTGCAGAGTATTCACATTTTGGAGAGAACTGCTTCATCGGGCACAGAGCCCTCTGTCAGTCGGCAATTGCTAGAGCCGGAACCCATCCCCCTGTCCAAGGTCAGTGACAGTGTGATTTCCTTCGCAAGTAGCCCAGTGCCTGCTCTGGGGCCAAATGAGCTCTGAATAACAGACACCGCACTCTCCTAAGGAAGCTGTGAAGCCGACTGTAGGGCTTGTGCCACTTTTCCTACTTCCCGTCCGTCCAGAGACTTTTTCTGCCTTGTGTGAGAGGCGACTAGAAAGAACTATTATTTCCTTTGAATTTCCAGGGTTGCATATGAAGGTCTAAAAATATTTTAAGGGAAGAAATAAAGGAAAATATCGTTACGTCCTCCTGGAGAGATAAGCAAATAATTCTGCGATTGATTAATGCAGAGGACAAAACCGCCAGTTTAGCAGTTGTAGCGTCTGTCATTACCACAGTTGATACAAGTGTGATACACATGTCCTTAACACATGCGCACTTACTACATTTAATGAATCTGGAAACATCAGGGTCAATAATTTTTCCTAAAAAAAAAAAAAAAAAAAAAAGCTGTTAGGGGCTGGAGAGATGGCTCAGAGGTTAAGAGCACTGGTTGTTCTTCCAGAGGTCCTGAGTTCAATTCCCAGCAACCACATGGTGGCTCACAACCATCTGTGGTGAGATCTGGTGCCCTCTTCTGGCCTCTGGCCAGCAAGTATACATGCAGACACAGCACTGTATAATAATAAATAAATAAATCTTAAAGGAAAAAAAAAAAAGCTGTTAGGTAGCAGGGGGAAATACACACTAGATTTGCTTAGTTCTGTAACCCACTCTGTTCATCTCTTCCTCACCTGCAAGGTCCAATAGTGCCTATACGTGTCGGCCATCGCACCTTGTGATTTCTGGTCTCCGTCTAATGTCTACCTTCCAGCAGTGACTCTGAGGAGAACAGTACAGATTAAGACTATGTCATGGAAGCCAGAGTTCCTGTCTCTTCAGCCTGTTCTCCCTCAGATTTGGGAAGCATCTAAAGTTATTTATTTCTAAAAACCCAAAATCATCCCTCCAGAAGATGGGCCCCCTACGTGTCCTCCTCACTCCCGTGAGATGGTCTCTGGGCCAATGAGCTGGTTTCATGATGAGAAAACTGTGAAAAGAGAGTACATGCAGATTTAAGGTTCACATAAATACAGCTTTATTTCCTAAAGAGGACTAGTTGTAAATGTGTGCAGTTGATTCTGATCCTATATAGAGCCTAAACCTTTTAAGAAAAGAATGTGCTTCTATACTGTTCAAGACATAATGAATATGTACATTTGTACATTTTATACTTTGAATTGTTATAAGCTACACAAATTATCTTGTCAGACAGAAGTAGAAGAAAATGTTAAACTATAAAAATAATTTAGAGGGGGGTTAAAGAAATGGCTCAACCCTTTCAAGTGCTTTCTGCTCTCACAGAAGATCAAGTTTGGTTCCCAGCACCTATATCTGGAAGCTGGAAACTGCCTATAATTTCAGCTCCAGGGGATTGGCTGCCCACTTTTGGCTTCTGTGGACACCTGCATCTAAGTGGTATGCACACATGTATATACTTGCACACACGTACACATGCGTGCTTACACACACTGTTAAAAGTAACTTAGAAATAAAAAGGACGGACCTCCATTTGAATAAACAGAGACTACATACTTGATGAATATAACTATCATATCTCATTGAAACACCCATCCTCTATAGCTGGTGAAAAGATGAAAAATAAATAGATCCGGGCAATGGGAAAAGCTAACATGTACTGAACACCTGTTTTGTGTCTTACATTCTCTCAATTGGCCTCTACAACATTAAAGTGGGTATTGATTTCCTCATTTTCCATATAATTCCAGCATAAAGGTCTAATCCATTACAGCTTGCCAGGTCACAGCAGCTGGGGTGGATCTGTTGACTAAAGGGAGGGTCCAGGCTAGGAGTACTAACAGCATTCAACATCCCATGGTTTCTGTTGCTTCCCATTTGCAACTTACAATAGGACTAATAGACGTTTTGTTTTTACATTAGTGCCTGTGACCAAATCTTGAGGTCTCATAAGAGTTGGTATACTCACTGAGGTACCACTGCATCTCATCACTTCAGAGCCTTTTGAGAGAGCACTGTCTTCCTGGGTACTGGCTGGAAGGAGGGCTTTGAACAAGGCATTGCCCTGGCTTGGGTTTATTTAAATCCTAGGCGTTTGCAGCTCTTGAGACATTGTTGCCCATCCCCACCCAGCCCAGAGACTAATTTGTGCTTTTTATACTTTGAAAGCATTACAAGCCACAAAAGTTATTTCATCCACAGTAGTAGAACTCTAGTCCATGGAAAGGGAAGTATTATTAAACTATAAAATAATTACAGAACTATAATTCATAGGTAGACTGGGGGGATGGCTCAGCGATAAAAGTTCTGAGGCCGATCAAAAACTGACATGATCCTGACACGATCATCTTAGGGCTCTTGTTTCTATTTCTGTTGTGCATAGACTTAGGAATAGTACAGACTCGGACCGAAAATAAACAAAATTGAAATTTCAGGAATAATACACTCTTTTTAGAAAATTATTTTAATTTTCTTATGATGTGCCTAATTCACGAAGTGAGAAAGAGCGGTTTCAGCATCGTGGAAAACAGAATGTGGAAGGCTCTGTCTTGTGTGGAAATGGGTTGTTTCCTTTCCTACATATTTTATTTGTATCCTTATCATCCATCAGCATTTATAATTGAAATAGGTGGGGCTGTTGCTTGCTCTGCTTTTATCCCTCGCCTCTTTGTCAGCTTGACAGCTTATCTTATTGTTACTGAATTACGGAACTGAATTAAGAGTCTTTTCTGGTGGGTTTTTTTTTTTAACATTGCACTAGAAAATACATGGGAGCTAGTTCACAGTGACAGCATTTCACGTAGGAAATACACTCATTTTTGGTCTGTTCTGTTTTATCCTGTTTCCCACTCTCCAGTTCAGCTCTCCCAAAAAGGAAAGAAAACCACTCTAACAGAAATCAATAGGGGTGGCTACAAAGAGATGAGTTTGCGCCACACTTGACTTTAATTAGTAGGGGGGAAATTGTACTTATTACTAAATGCTTCCATTTTATGTCATACAGAGATTCTTCATCAAACAGAGGGGTGGGACAACGGAGGGGATACTACCCTTTTAAATAGAATGTAGACAGAAGTGTGTTTTTAAAATATATACATAAATATTTTTAATTATTTATTTTTACTTTAATTGCATTGCTGTTTTGCCTGCATGTGTCAGAGTGTGGAGTTATAGACAGTTATGAGCTGCCATGTGGATGCTGGGAATTGAACCCCAGGTCCTCTGGAAGAGCAGTCAGTGCTCTTAACTGCTGTGTCATCTCTCCGGCCCTAGAAATGCCTTTTAATACAACTCACATATTACTAAGGACAGAAGTCCAGTGACTGTATTTAAACACATGGGAAGTTGCTCTTAGTCTTAATCCCTTAATTGTGTCCATCATTTGCATGGAGTGTTACTGTTCTGATGAGAGTAGGAAGCCATAGGTCCTTGATGGTTTCTGTAGGAATTTACTACTTTCTCTGGTCTTCACACTGTTCATAAGGAAGAATCTATTCTTGAGTTGCAACCAGCATTAAGAAAGCCTCCCGTGGTAGCTGGGGTCATTGGGTAGCGCCACCTTTGCTAATGTCAGCCAGATAAACATATTTTACACAGCCCAAAGCTGTCTCATCAGAAACACTTTTATATCCAAGTAACAGATCAATCACAGTATTATCTGTTGTGTTATTTTGAGACAGGGCCTCTCTGTGTAGCCCTGGCTGTCCTGGAACTTGCTGTGTAGAGCAGGCTGGCCTAGATTTCACACAGATCCTTCTGCCTCCCGAGTGCTGGGATTAAAAGTGTGCACCACCACATGTAACTCAGAGCAGTCACAGTTTCTGGCCAACTAATCTTTAAGCAGAAAGCACATCTTGAGCCCTTGTATATCATTGAAAGAATGCACAGTGTTGCCAAATGGACACCCACAGGTCATGATATGTAGCTCATTCCTCAGCAGTGACTGTGGAATACTTTTAGGCTCTTTCCTTAGGTAGGGGAGGCAGCTATGGGATTGGGTTTAGGTAGGATGCAGGCTCCGTGCTGGTTTTCAGAGAGGGATAGTCTCTGTTTTATCTCATAATAAAACTTTTGAGAAAATTCTACCCTGGATATACCTATTTTGATTTAGCATGGATTAGACTTGGTCCCAAAGGAAGCAGCCTCTAGGATGAAGGAGAGAAAGAGATGGTGGGCACAGCCCTCTTCACCCTTGCCATGTCCCATATCTGTGCCTGATAACAGCACCTCCTTTCCTGAGACTGTCAGAGCTTCACAGTTGCAAAGCTTGGTCTAGCCTGAGATGCAGTACTCTAACCAGTGGGGATCTAAGGTAAAAGCCTTCTCAGAATGCAGCTACCCAGTCAGTTGGTGTTGGCCACTGCTGAAGGCCTGTCCTGATCTGCCCACAGTGCATCAACCCCTCTCAAGCTAAAGCTGCAGAGTTGAGATGAGATTTTTTTTTTCTTCCTCCAAACATGAAAGTTTTGTGTAGGAAGTGAGACACCTTTCTCTCTTAGCAAGACATATGGTAGTTCTGGGTAGAATCAAGCATGGTAAGAATGTTGCTAGGTCTTTGATCACCTGGAACAGTGGGTCTCAACCTTCCTGACTAACTCTGTGATTCTTTAATACAGTTCTTCATGTTGTGGTAACCCTCGATTATTTTTGTTGCTACTTCACAACTGTAATTTTGCTACTGTTATAAATTGTAAATATCTGATTTACAGGGTATCTGATATGTGACCCCCAAAGGAGTTGACACTCACAGATTGAGAAGCACTGATCTAGAGCATATGGGTCCATAGCCATTACCCAATTATAGGATTTTCAAGCCCAGGATGCTGAGTGGAGTGGTGGCCACCATGACAAACTAAAGACCAGCACTCTTTACTTAACAAGTTCAGTGTCACAAGAGCTAACAGCAAATTTGGATCTTTCAAGATGAAAAATAAAAATAATCTGATCTGTAAATGCTGATAACACTTTTAAAAAAAAAGCAAACACTAATACCATATATGAACAAAATGTATCTAATTAAGGAAGAAACTGAATTAATCAGTTATCTAACAGGAGGGGAGGAGTGAGACTCTAGAGCCAAGGTACTTTTTGTACTTACTGTTGGGTTTTATTTCTGCTGTTGGACAGATTGAACCTAGGTCCTCTGTGTTTGCTAAGGATATGCCTTACCAGAGGTCTAGGATCCAGATTCTTAGCCTTGCAGCTGCACTCTCAGTGGGCTCCCAGGGGAATGGGCCTCTTGGGAAACCTGGACTTCCTGGTATGTGCCCATTTGGAGGTGCACAGGGCTGCAATGGGAAGAAAGAAGACCACAGCATTGCTCCATGCTAACCGCACGTTATGTTTGACAACCTTTCCATTTCCACACAGAAAGCCTGCTCTACACACTTACTGAACATTTGTCATCAGATGTCTAATTTTAAGGCTTTAAAGGCCCTCTGAGGCCCAGGATCATGGGGTGGGTGTGTGCATTTTAAACATTCTGAGTGCAGGAAATCGTAATTCCTTTCTACTTCCCCAGTGTGCCTGTGATAGGGTCTGCGTGCCTCCAGGTCTACCTGGGAAACTCAGAGGAGCATCACTTGAAAGTGCATGGCTTATTTTGATGCTGCAATTAACTCCAGAATGTCACTCATCCTATTGTTGGGCTGAGGGTGGCATCAGAGGTGACGTTCTGCCTAGGAATCACCTTAAAAGCGTACCATTAAGCACAGGACATAAATGATTTGTTTTTCTTTTCTCTCAGGAAGCTGACAGCTGGGAAATTATAGAAGGGCTGAAAATAGGCCAAACCAATGTCCAGAAACCAGACAGGCACGAAGGGTTTATGCTGAAGAAAAGGAAATGGCCTTTAAAGGGCTGGCACAAGGTAACTGCCCAATCGGATCGAAGCTGAGATCGTCATCATAGAAACCTTACCGTTATTAGGTGGGAAACAAGGGTCACAAGAGCTTGTGAGTTTGAATCTTTGTCTTAGAAACAAACAAACAGAAAACCCAGAAAGGAGAGGAGACGGAAGAATGGAGGAAGGGAGGGGCAAGGAGGAGAAAAGAAAACAAAATCTGTGGCACTGAGAGAGCTCTTCCTTCTCAGTAGAACCCTTTCATTAGGCTCCTTGGGTAGACTCCCACATCACTGCAAGAGCAACTTCATACATTCACCACCTCTGCTGATGAATTTCACCTCAGAATCTCAGAGCAGACAGGCTTGCTAACCAAATGCTTGAGTAGTGGCCATCCACTGGCAAAGCACACAGGTTACAGATTACATTATCCCTAAAGAAACGGACAGATGTGAAATGTTGCCACACCCTATCTCTAGTTGCCCTACCCTGTCTGTAGAGTAGGGTGAAAGCCAGTCGAAGGGGCTTCCACCTAATCCAGCTTTCCCTCATCAGAAACTGTCTCCCTTCAGCCCAATACCACCCCAATACCAAGGGCTTCTCGTCTCCAGTTACTGTCCTTCTAACTTGAATTTTGGCCAGCAAGTGATTCCTTCTAGGCCTGCCTCTGCATCTGTCTTGTCATCCATAGCCTTATTTAGCTCTTTCCTGTGACATCCTCTTGTTATTCTTGTCTAAACTTCTTTAATAGAAATGTAAAAACTGGGAAAACAGGCCAAAACCACATTTTGAAAAATGAATTGCTATGTTCAGTTTAGCGGTCTGATACCTGACTCAGCAAAAATGGCTGTGGATTGATATCTTTCTGGATTCCTTCTGGATTGTGTGTTTGGATAAAGACTAAGAGAGCACCCCACTGTGCTTTTTCTCCTCTCCCTGATACCACTAGGTGTTGATTAATCAGCCCATTTGAATGCCCAAGGTATATACAGCAATTGAATTGCTTTTTTGATGTGGAACTTTTTTATTCTGGCAGGTACCTATTGTTTTCAAGAATCCCAAACAAAGGGATTACAGAGGCCCTTTGTGAGTTCTTGGCAGGATACTTTGGGGACCTGATGTTCTGCTGTCTCAGCAGCTATGAGTTCCTGCATCCTATGAAAATGTTCCAGCAGAGTACATGCCAGCAACAGAAGGATTCCCTACATTTGCAGAGCTGGAATAAGGCCCAAAGTGTGGCTTTTTCTAAATGGCCCACAGAAAAGAAACCAACATAAGAGAATTCTTAAGCATTTGCAATTAAAAAAAAAATGGCAAATCCACTCAGACTGTACCAAGCAGACCTCAGGGCAGAGAGTTGCCTAATCACCCTCCTTTTTAATTATTTTATTTAAAAAATGATTTTTTATTCTTGGAGAATTTCACACATGTATACAGTGTATCATGATCATATCCACCCATTTCCTACTCAGTCCCTCCCAGAACACCCCAGTCCCTCCCCCAGAGAACCTAAATACACCCTCTTACCAACTGTATGTCCCTTTTTGTTTTAATATATGCATATTTCACTGGAGCCACTTAGTATTACCCATGTGCATTTACTAAGGCTGCTTACTGGAGCATGAGCGACCTACCAATAGCCACATCCCAGAGGAAAAAAATGACTTTCCCTTCTCTTGTAACCATCAACCACCAGCAAGGGGCAGAGCCCCCTTATTATTTTTCATGTAGCTTGGAAATATTATTTAAACTTTTTCACTAATGGTAGAACACAAGCATATTGCCAAGGAGATAACATACACATTTCCAAGGTCATTTAAGCCTTGTAGGTAATTTATTAGTAATGGATCTGGTGTAATGGCTTTTGTAACAGACATGAGAATTTTAAGAAAGTGCCCATGGTGTCCAGGGAAAAATTCAGGACTTCCCTGCAGAATTGTATAGGAATCTTCACAGAATTGCCATGATCTCTCCAGGTTATTTTTTCCTCCCTTTTATAATGCCCTAGCACAGTTAGTTCATGAAGCCTGAACTGCAGGTCCTTAGCCCACCTCCTGGGAAAGATGAACCATGGAGGAAAGACTCCATCCCTGGCACTCTACTAGATTCACTTGCCTCACTTCCTGTGACTGGCTGTGGCCAGATGCACTGAATCCATGTATCAAAGTCATCAAACGTGTTAACTACTAAATGCCAAGCTATTGGCCACCTGCGCTTAGGAATGCTTTATATAATTCAGAGTACAAACAGTAACCAGTGGTGTTTGGTCCTTGCAGCGCTTTTTTGTCCTGGATAATGGAATGTTAAAGTATTCAAAGGCACCACTTGATGTAAGTAGCTCGAAGGGCATGTTTCACAGATTGGTTTAGAATTCTGCTTGAAGTGAATGAATGCTGTAACTGTGCAAAGCCCTGTGCCATAGTTACCAGCTTTCTGCATGTCTGTGCCTGTAATATTTAACAAGCTACCAACTGAAGTTCTAGAGAAGGTATGTTTTATGCTCATACTCAAGATAATATCAAACTAGTGCATGAATGTTTAACTATTTTTTAAACATAGGTTTAAACCTAAAAGTGACACATCAATAATTTCACCCTTCTTCTCCTAGAGAGAAGAATCTGAAAGTATTTTTTTCTTTGCACTTTGAAATGAATTTCATGTTCTTTTTGGTTTTTAAAGCCCTCCTTGTTTATGTCAAAGTTCTTTTAAAAATTGTCTTTTGTACTTTTGTGTTTCGTTCACCATTTTATCTTGAGAACCCCAACTCATTAAGATTATTCAAGATTATTCCAAACTGCTTTTGCTTAATATCTAAGTAGTACTTTGCATGCAAATCTCTGAGTTTCTTCCTTCCTGCCATGTGGTATAGGGAAATAACTAAGGGCTTAGAATTAGGTTTGTCCACCCATCTGCCATGGAATCAGCTATGTCTTTGGTCAGCCAAGGACAGCCAGAAGGGGCCGGTGGCTCTGGTCTCAGCTGCCCAAGTCTGCCCTTAACAGCTGCCATCCACCGATTCTTGGGTCACAGTTCAAAAGTTGACTTCAGTTATTTTGGGAATCATTGGCATTGCCATATTGAGGAGGTAGAAGCTAAGCAGTCTGGAATTATGAAGAGCTGACATTACTAGTGCTCAAAATAGAGAAAGAAGAGTCATGTTGCATGCTGAAATGGATGGTAAGTCATGATAACTCCAACTGTCCTTAGACCTTAGCCATTTCCTCTTTTAAAAAACAATGTAGTCACCCCCATGAGTGAGTTGAAATTTTCCTTGAGCTCACCTTAGTTCAGAACAGAAACTCACCAGCCCATATACCCTTCCAGCATATTCACTAATCTTTTGATTTCAGATTCAAAAGGGCAAGGTCCACGGGAGCATAGATGTGGGGCTGTCTGTCATGTCGATTAAAAAGAAAGCTCGGCGGATAGACCTTGACACGGAGGAGCACATCTATCATTTGAAGGTGAAATTGTTTTCAGCATCTGGCATTAGCAGGGGATGCCATTTGCCTGCACCAGTGGCAGACAGACAGGGGACAGTTTCCACAGCTATCTTCCCTCGCTCCCTGTTCCAGGTGAAATCCCAGGACTGGTTTGACGCTTGGGTCTCCAAACTGCGCCATCACCGCTTGTACCGTCAGAATGAAATTGTGCGATCGCCAAGGGATGCGAGTTTTCATATATTCCCTGCCACTTCAACAGCCGAGTCCTCCCCAGCTGCTAATGTTTCTGTTGTGGATGGAAAGGTATGGCTTTGTGCTGTAAGACATCAGCCTGGAAATCGTTTAGAAACTTGTACGTGTCACTGTGTCTCCTTTGAAAACACCAGGAAGAGAAGTTTGATTTTGTAAGCTGACACTCAGAAGACAAGTGACATTGGCACCAGAGTTAGTCACAAGCAAAGATGAGCCAGACATGTGTGAATCACTGAGCGTTTCCAGTTGTTTTTTCTTTATAATAAATGGGCCACATCATTTATGTGTGGCTTTTTAGGAATATTGCATGGTAGTGCAAACATTTGTTTAATCAGCATCTGGGAATTCCTGGGTGTTAATAAAGAGACCCCAAAGTTCTTAAAGTAAAACCTGTGTATTGCTTTGAGCTATGATGTATATATAACCCAGAGAGAGGCTACTCAGTCATCCACCCCCCCCCACACCTCCACCCCCTAGAGTTAATGCAAGTCAGCTGGAGAGGTCCCATGGTATCAGTAGTGTTTCAGTGAGACTGTGTTTGTATGTGTCAAGTGACATAGCCATCCCAGGATGTGACCACACAGCTGTTTCCAAAACCTACTCTACCTCCTTTCCTTAAACCAGGTGCCAGACAAGCAAAGCTGCAGCTCCTTGGAATGTAAAAAGATTCATGGTCTGTGCTGCAGAAAATCTGGCAGTATTTCTTGTCTGAAAGTCAAGGTTGGTCGACAGGCAGGGAAGCGGCTGTTTCAGTGTTTGATTCAGTAATTGGGTTGCATTGCACAGAGTGGCTTCATGCTCAGTACCCCAAACTGAGGTCAGAAAAGCTGATTGGGTTCAAAACCATTCCAGTGGAGAGTCTGACTTCTCTATTTGCTTTCATGGCATCTACGTAATATCTAGATTATAGTTTCCTCCCTGCAAAGCACTGGGAAACTTCATTGAGAAACACAAGACCTAACCTACCAAACTTAGTAGAATGTTACCCATGCTTGGGTTTTGTTATTTGATGGAAAGTACTTACTAGTGTATAAGTTAAACCCCACTAATTATATTTCACAATCTATGACTTCATTGTGGTCTCATTCCTGCCAAAGACTGGTTGATTATCTTTGTCCTAGTAATAGGGTTGACTGAAATACTAACTAGTTCTGCATATAAGGACAACAAGCCAAGAGCCAGAGGGATTAGAGTTTGGGAACTCAGAGTTCCCCAGAGAGTCCCTGTATTTCTCTGGGCCTCCTGAGTTTTCATCACAGGGTAGCATGAGTCTGGGTAAGTCCAAACTGAATGAGAACTGTATCCCAAACAGATCTTTAAAAAGAAAACATTAATTTTTAATTCTTTGGGTTTGTTTTTTTTTTTTCCAGCCTCTGCCTGTATCTTTGGCACAAAGCATTGATAAAATATGCGCTATTTCCTCCCTTATCTTGTTTATTAAATACCATGGGTGATATCTGAGATTGGCGAACTGAAACCAAATCCTTACCCCACACTGTTTGCTCCGGAATAGGGAAACTCTCCAGCTCTGGTCTCCACAAAAGGTCCATTTCTCCAGTTGCAAGCTCAGAGCTCAGATTCCCTGGGTGATTTCTATTACACTCATCACAATGCAGTAAAGAGCCTTTTGTCCCTTTTCCTGCCTTCCACATATCGAATTAGGAGACTCCTGAGTGTTAGTTGGTTTGTGGCCCTGTGTGGGTAATAAATAAGCCTGGGTTTGCTAACTGTGTGCATTATTTATTTCTTAATAATTTAGAAGACATAATCAGTTGCAAGTGAGTATTGGAGTCGAACGTGAAGTTTTAAAGTCATTTCCGCTCCTTGGGAAGTAAATTTCTGCTGTTTGCTGTACACATTATTATCTGCATATATTACTCAACTTTATTTCACATAAAAATCCTTCTAGTGGAAAAGCTATCAGCTATGGATAACTTGTCAAGAAAGCCTTTTATATAGGCTTCAGAATGGTTTGGAAGCATTCTAAGGCTGCTTGCTGGTGGGCAGTGAATTTAGGAACCTCATGAGAGTGACAAGATTTTGAGCCGATCATTAGGGTGCAGAGAGCTTCTGGAGAGGAGAGGCATTTAGCCAGGGGTCAAGGTGTGTTGAGGACCCTGTATCAAATACAACTTTCTGAGTAATTTCAGGTGACTGGGGGTCTGAACGGTTGGGTCCTCTTGAGTATGGGCCATTGTTATTTTACCCTGTTTTCTTCATTGAATGATGGGGGTAGCATTGATGGAATGTTATTAGCATGAGTAGTGAATTCAGCATTCATTTGTGTAAATTATGCGCTTGGTCTCTTTGTGTGTAGATGCAGCCCAACAGTTTTCCATGGCAGTCCCCTTTACCATGCAGTAACAGCCTCCCTGCAACCTGCACAACGGGCCAGAGTAAAGTGGCAGCCTGGCTGCAGGACTCGGAAGAAATGGACAGGTGTGCGGAAGGTTAGTTCCTGCCTCGGGGGCTCTCAGAGCAAGCCCCCCCCCCCAACCCAAAGCTGATGGAAACCGCAACAATGCAGCCTCCACTCTTACCTCCCTGGGTGACCTGGCCTTTCCCTTGTCTTAGTTGTGTGCCTTCTCGATCCTTCTCTGCACTGTGACCCACGCAAGCTTCCTTCCTGCCAGCTCTCCCACCGCCTCACAGGTGGATCTGAGTTTCTCTCCTGCCTTGGCTTCCACACGCTTCAACCTTATTATCTCATCACCGCCCCTTCTCACTACCTTTCCCTGTCCCTTGGGCCTGAAGAACTTCTACTCTTACACCTGGGCCCTGCACTGCCCTCCTCTCCTGGTCCCTTCCTTCTTTGCTGTTGTGTTGCCTACAGAACAGTTCTGTTCCCTGTTAGCACAGAGGTGAACTGTAGGATCCAAGGCTGCGCGTCCGGAGTGACCTGTGAATGGGGGCTTCACTGCAGAGAGGCCTTTGGGGATTCTGACTAGTCCGTTCTATCCTGGGCCGTTTAGTCTTTTACTTTCTCCTTCCTTAGCAGAACCCATTGGCCCACACTTTATCCACAGACCATTTCCATTCTAAAATGGTTTTCATTTGACCACAAAACTGACAAGAACAAGGGCAGTGTAGAGAGTATTTAGCAAGTCTCAACTGATTTAATTTTTGGACGCGCTTGAGATACTGCGTTAATTCTGTTCTTTCATGAGATTTATAAAGCATGTTATGTAACTTCTTGATATTTTCACTTAGAAAAAAAACTGGGTGATCTGTTACCCCTCCTGTACCCGCACCATTTGTTTAAACTCCAGATTTGCTTTTTTTCACTCTGAGACACCAACCCCCATACTTAATTCACATGTGAAATTATGATTTAAAAGGGATTTTATATCCATAATCATGTCCATATGACATCTCATTAAAGTGTTTTCCTTGGTTATATCCACCATACACAGCTTCCAGTTGTGGAAGGAGGCAGACCGCTTTCATACAGCCCTGTAGATTTCTGCAGTGTTTGGAGACCACCCAGCTTCTGTGCAAAGGTCATCTACATGATGCTTCCCTCATTAGCCCAGCTCCTATGGCCACAAAAGAGGACCCAGGATTCCAACTCAGACATTCTCACTGCAGAGCCCCACTAGGGTTCCTCTGAGGGTCAGTATTAGCACCTGGACCCTGTGTATGTCACTGATTGTCACAGCTAACTCAACCCTCGGCCCATATAGCCAGTTCAAAGTCTTGTCCTAATCCTTACCAACCTTTTGTGGCCATCCATTCCTATCTTCATGACCCAGAGCCCACATTTTTCTTGTCCCTGCTGGTCATACAGCCTCAAGACTGCATTACCTGGTCTCCAGCTCAGCCATCTCATTCTTCTCAGAAGCTCATAGGAAAGGATCATCCATGAGCCTGTTTGCAGGCCATATGCCAATACTTAGCAGCTAATATTCTGTTGTATTCAGCAATGAAGCATAGGTACTGTTCACTTTCTGCACTTCACGGATGAGGAGAATGCAGTTTGTAATGGTTCAGACACTTGTCCAAGATTATAGAGCTGCCTTGGTGGGGAGATTGGGATTTCGCCAACCCGCATTTGACTAATGGCAAAGTCAGTGCTCTGTTCACTACATAATGCCCCCTCAAGCCTGGTAGTCCTTAAAATAACTGTGCAGACACCTTCCTGTGGCTGTTTACTGGCTCTGGGATGTTATTCCAGAGCACTTATCTCAGTAGTTAGCAGCCAGTACGTTCAGCATTCTGGCCCTACCTTGCCTATTTCTGTAGACTCAAGCAACTATTGGGGTTTGTTTGTTTTGTTTTTTGTTGTTGTTCTTTTGTGTCTTAGTTGAATGTATTTCCATATGCCCCGAGTGTGCCTGTGGATAGATGGTTCTTCCTAACCTCTCTGCCTTTCTGTTTGGCTAAAAACTTTCCTGCCAGTCTTCTGAACCTTTTGGGGATTGGGTGGGGTCTCTCTTGTAAATCTGCTTTCAAACCATGAAACCATAAACATACTCCTTCTCATCTCTTGCTGCACAGAAGGAAAAGGAAAGAAAGAAAGAAGGAAGGAAGGAAGGAAGGAAGGAAGGAAGGAAGGAAGGAAGGGAAGGAAGGAAGGAAGGAAGGAAGGAAGGAAGGAAGGAAGAAAGAAAAAAAAAAAAAAAACCCTGTCGTAAACCGTGCTTACTCCTGAAATGTGTTTCAGTTAAAAAGGGAAAAGGGAACATTTCATAATTATTTCATTGGTTGAATTTCAAAAGACAACATTTTATGAAGCCCATTATAGATCAGATGTATAGCTCAAACAGTAAAGGTAATAATTGGCTTAGTCCAGGTCTCAAATATGTGGGGAAATTGCTTGGCTCTTAGAGGATAATTTTCCACAGAGAGGAAATTCAAATTAGTAAAAGTCTACAATAGATTCTAAAGGAATCATTCCTTGCCATGGTATTAGTGAGCTGAAGAACAGATGTGTTTAACTGATTTTTTACTCTGTTCTGTTTTTCTGAACTTGACTTTGGCTCTGCCCAAATTCCACGCAGCCCACCTTGTAAACCATTTTAGAGGAACAAGTAGACAGGCCCCTAGGAATAAAACCACAAGAATGCTGAAGTCTCCAGGGTGTCCATGAGACAAAAGCAGTGAGGACAGGAGAGTGATCACGCACAACTTGGTATGTTAAATCCATCTACTTTCAGAGTCACAGTAGGTAGGTATGGGCTTTGAAACCCTCTCACCACCTATGGTTCTGACCCAGAGAGAGGTAATGCCTTGGGTTACCTCTGAGTATTACCATTATATAAATATGGATATGTTCATCATCCATCTTCTACCACATCATATCTACAACAGTGTGGCTTGCGCCCCCTTTATCATTGTCGCCATCATTTCTACACAGTTGTAATGTTTTTGTCTTTACTAGATCTTGCACACTGTCAGTCAAACCTTGTGGAACTTAGCAAGCTCCTGCAAAACCTGGAGATACTTCAGAGGACTCAGTCAGCACCCAACTTCACTGACATGCAGGTAAATGTGGCTACCCCAGTAACCAGATCTAAGATCCTATCTTCAAACCTTATTGGACTGTCCTGTGATTGTGCAAAGTGACACTCAAAAGGAAATGACTACAATCAGACTAACATTAGAATATTTATCACAGTATCAATATATGGTTTATGTTCTGGAGTTAGCCTTTTCTTTCTTCCTTTAGTTAATATGTATTTGTGTTTTACCTACATGTATATCTGTGCACCATATGTGTGTGTGCAGTGGCTATGGAGTCCCAAAGAAGGCATCAAATTCCCTAGGACTGGAGTAATAATAATAGATGCTTGTGAGCTGCTGTGCTGGTGCTGGGAATCAAACCTGGGTTCTCTGTTGGAACAACTGCTGAACCATGTCATAATACAATGAAATTTGGTGTCATTGTGTTAAATAAGAAGAGTTGTATTGATGCTTTTCATTTAAAAATATTACAGACTATTGTAGGCATACATATTTGTGTCAACTTTCCCATGTCACTTTTGTATTAACAAAGCTTTGGAGCTTGAGTCTAGAACTATGAGCTCAGAAGTATGAATACCTTTCAATGTAGAAAAGATGCTCGTAATCTCTGATCGTGTTTTCATTTGTACACACTAGAAATATAACATTCACAAGTAAGTAATAGAGAAGCCTTGGTTTTAGTATACTGTCTTTCTTCCTTAGCTGGCTGGCTTTGGGGTTCTAACGATTCCTTACTAACTTTCTGGGCTCTTTGTATGTGTATTCATCTGTGTGAACTTAATAACCCTTTGTTGCTTTTAACTATTTGTATAATGTAGGCTAACTGTGTAGATATTTCAAAGAAAGACAAGCGGGTCACAAGACGCTGGAGAACAAAAAGTGTCAGCAAAGATACAAAAATACAACTGCAGGTACCGCATTTTGCTTCCCATTCCTTTGCCTTTTCATTCACTTTTAAAGCATTGTCTCTGTATCCATTACATACCAGCCCCGGGCATGAGGTTGAAGGAAGAGCTTAACTGTTGAAAGCCCATGCTTTGTAGACAAAGTTGTGTTATCTAAACATGGAATTATTTGTTTCAGTGAATTGGACATTAAGTTCAAAAACCTAGAAAGGTAAGGGTGATCCAATTTGGCCACACGGTAGCATTTCCACCCTCAGTCATAGCCTTTGAAGCATTCAAACTCAGACAGAATGCCACTTTACAATCAAAAATGGAAAGCCAGTATAGACAGTAATGTACATTCATTTATGTAGTCTCAATATTAGAAGGCTCTTTTATGGGTGAACTTTTGTCTACAGTTTTATCGGCCTTATACGAGATATTGGAGTTAAAAAATTAACACAATGGCTATTAGTGTGACCACTGTGATTCTCTGGCCTCATAATTTATGCATTTCTGTTAAACTTTCTGGACTTTATTTGCTCCTTCTCAAATTATAGAATTAATTTAATGATTATTGAATTCTGTCTATAATTACAAAGGTAGATCATATCTGGCCTACAATGATCACTCTAAAATTTGAACTAAAATCTCCATAGTTCAATTTCCTTGAAATTAAAATCTTTAGTTGCAATAAATAGTTGTAAAATTTCAAATGTGATCCTCTTATGTTATTGCATTCAATGATACAGAATATGGTAAATGCCTAAAACCCCTTATGTCATCAGTGTTATTTTCAAATCTTGACAAAAATCTCTACTATTCTTACCTTAGCTGTGCAAGGTGATTGCTTACCTGGACAGTTCAGTTTTGTTTTCTTTCTAATTATATGGATGAATTTAGATTCTAACACAATGGTGAAAGTAACTACTTTTCAGTGCTCTGCACCTTCTTCTGAGTAATTAACAAACATGATTTTCCCCTAATTCAGACTGCTTCAATAACATTCTGTGTATTGTCACTCTGGATGTGTCCATAACAAACTGCTGGTGTGTTTTCTAATCTGATGTAATTCATAATAAATTTCACAAGCACTAAACATTACTACTTCTATTTAGAATATATGCATCCCATGCTCATCATTCTGCATATTCCTTTGAGCAGTGTACTTTTATGTGTTTCCCATTCTGTTCATAAAATTAGTGCTGAAGGGAAAACATGCCAAATGATTTCATAAAAAAACCTGCAAAATTGTCATTTGTTTTGAGCTTAAGATTTGTCTTGTTTCTTTTTAGTCTTTATGTTCTCATGTCTAAGAGAAGAGTCATTTTTTGCAACCATATGAACACTTTCTTTAAAAAATTGAAGAATGCTGTATCCAAAGAACGTCCCTGTTTGTGATACCTGTTCCAGTCTTTTTCTGTAATGCATATCAATGAACAGATTCCCTTCGGAGCCGTTGTCTGAGTGGACTGGCTATTGGCAAGTCTGAGCACGGTGCCCATGGCTGTCTATGGGGCCAGGTCGCCCACCATAAGCCCAGATGATCCATTTTTCCCCCTGGAGGAAGGTAGTTTTGTGCTGAGAAATCATAAGGATTGTTTGAGTCATCAGCAGAAATTGTCACGAGAGCAGGCAAATCTTTGAGTGACTTCTTTGAATTTTTCACTGATGCTCTCTTGCTTTGTTTGACCAAGGAATAACACAATGACCCTTATAATTCTTGTTTAGATGAGACACTTGCAGTTATCTCATCCCTACACTCACTTTACCTCCTCAAGAGGAGCAGGTGTAGTTTTCAGTAGAAACACAGAGTTGGCATGACAGTAAGCTATTAATCACTCCCTGAGAGCGTTTACTTCCATTTGGACTTGAAGTGTGTGTCATTGGCCGGAGCTCTGCTGCAGAATTTGTTGTCATCCCACGTGAAAAATTTCTGTTTGCCTCAGGCAACAGGTCTTCCAAGAACTGTCAAGACTTTCTCTCTCTATGTAACTAGGATGGGACTGAAGCTCCTTCAACATCCCATTGGGGATGAATAAGTTCACCCAGCAATGTCTGTAAACCACAGGACCATCTTTGCTCAACGGTTTATTGCCTACAAAAAGGCATGACATTTATTTTTACCATAGTCCATTAAAGACTCCTGCTCCTGTTTTCTCCTCCCCCTAGCTGTTTTCCCCTTCCTATCCCCAAAGTTTTGTGATTATGAGAATTCCATCTATTGATGCCAAATATTTGTTTTGAGCTCATTATCCTCTCACTTTCCCAGATGACCACTATGGCAGCCAACTTGAGAGATTCTTGCATCATGACAAGTCATTTTTTGTTGTTTGTAACTCAGGTCATTAGCCAGTTGTGAAGGAACCCAGGCTGTGTGGCAGTGGTAGTAGAGTGGTGTCCATTTACTGGTGTTGATATTGTGTCATTGAACTTTGTGTTCATTATTCTAAAGTAGTCATCTTGAAAAAAAATTATACAATAGATTTTTTTAATTGACTCCAGGAAATAGAAAATGAAGCATGTTATACCTGGTATTTGATAATAGCTTATTCTTGGCAAGGTAGATGGTTCGCCTTTCTTGAACATAAAGGTTAATGCTAGACCTATTTGGCCATATTTACTAGATGTCATTGAATTGTTGCTCTCAGAAATTGGTTGCGCAACTCATGGGGTCAGCATTTGTTTTGAAGGTTCCATGAGGATTATCTTTTAAGAAAGTAGGCATCCAGGTCTCCCAAAACTTCAGATTTTCTGGTTCTGATTAAAATCTCAGTTACACTATTTAGTCAAAAGTGCTATAGAAGAGAAATACCTTAGCCTTGTGTTATTAATAGAGTGATACTAGAGGAATCAGGTAGAGAAGGAGGAAGTACATAGTAGCCAGTCAAATTACCCATCATTGACATGAAGCTGACCTAGTCTCACATTTCAAAATCATACTGACATGGGAAGATTAGTCCTTCCTTTTATTATATTAAAGGTAGAGATTTTATACAGAAAACCTTTGTAGGAAATAGATTATGCATGTATGACACATATAAATGTGCAAAAGATTTGTGAAGTAAAATACGAGAGTAATTTAAAAAATTTAAAAGAGATGTGAGAATTCAAAACACTTGCTATTCCAAACAGATGAAAGTGTGTTGTTGTTGTTGTTATTGTTGTTGTTATGTGATTTGTTGGGTTAGTCTAAGCAACTTCATTTTGGCTAACTGAAGTGGAACTATTGTTCCCAATCTTGGAGAGTCTGGGATTGTAACACTGAGGCAACAGGAGAAGGAGATGCTGTTACCTCTAGGTTTCTTCAGATTTGTGCACAGGTGCACACTGCCAAATGGAACCCATGTTCTCAGTTTTTCATAACTGGTGTTTTTAGACATTGCCCCCCTCCTAGGTCCCTAGGTCCCCCAAACCACAATCTAGTGGGCCTGGCCTTCACCTTGGGTAATTCTTCAAGTTGAAGATTCCAACATTCTTGCTAACACTGAATTCCTGCCAGCAGGCTTTTTGGTAGGGGTTGAATAAGGGCTTGAAGAATCCTGTTTCTTTTCTCCTTATTCTTTTCTCTGAATACAGTTTTTGTTTAGCTTTTTGCCATTATATAATTACTTTCCCCTGAGCTTGCCTGTTTTCTTCACTACCATTTACTGAATACCTTTTGACTTAATACAATGTGTCATCACATTTTTAAAAAGGGGTATACCTGTACATTTTCCCCTTAGGATCACAGGCTCCTCATTAATGTGCTACTTCATAGCTCTCTGTTTCCTTTGGGGATAGGGATTACACTCAGGAAGTGGACTCGCAGTGTTTGAGTGGTCTGAAGTGAGAATAAAGAACATTCCTTGTGGCATGAATGTCCTTTTGACCTGTTTCAATGCTAAGATTTTTTTTTTTTTTTTTTAAGAAAAGTCAATTACAGTTAAAATTTCCTTTTTCCTTTGTCTGATTATCTTTCATCTCCCCCATAAACCCCCTTCTCTTCATCCCCATCCCATGTTTTTACCCCCTTTTCTTCTCCCATTCACTGTCAGGAAGGGCCACCTGCGAAGAGCCAGTTCAACACAACTCGGCGCCGGCAGAGGCTAGCAGCAGCAGTGGCTACAACAGTGAGTGGATTTCCATCTTGAATGAGGAACTATGTGCAAGGGTGACTTTATGGTGATAGGGCCACCAGTGTGTTGTGGATCACCTGTGGCCTGCCCAGTTGGAATGCTCTCAGGCTTTCCTTGCATGGCAGGAATCAGACATGGGTGCTGGTTTTTGCAAAGGAGAGCTAGTTCGTAATCCTGTTCTCCTACTGTCATTGGAAGATATGATTAAACTCAAGTTTAACTGAGTTTGAGAAACTATGGGGCCCTGAGATGAGAGATTTTTCTTAAATTATGGTATTTTACTTATTTAATTTTTCCATACTGATATCAGACCTTTGTTTGTTTTTTCCCTAAGAAATGCCAAGTTACTACAGGAATAAGTTGTAGGTTGGTGTGTGTGTGTGTGTGTGTGTGTGTGTGTGTGTGTGTGTGTGTGTAGAAGTATGACTGCTTGAAAAAGATGTCAAAAAGAAGTGAAAGGGTTAAGAGAATGTGGGTTTTCATGTCATCTCTACATGGCTACCCAAAGTATCCATAGCAAGGGAAATGGCTTTCCAGAAAAATATTGGCCTGGAAACTGGAAAATGTAATATGCATATGAAAATACACACAAAGTTAGAAGGTGGCTAATCCATATGTAGAGGGGTGTTTATCGCGGTAAATAAGGATCAGGATAAACAAATAGGCCGAATAGATGTTTATTCAGGGAGAAATAACTTACAACCTAGACAGATGAACACCAGGAAATTCAACCCGATCCTCTCCTGTCCGTCACGCCAGAAAGAGAGCGCCTTACTTGGCCCCCTCCGACCTCCTCCCACAGGTCACTTCCGCCCATGGCTCCACCCCCAATGGGTGTGGTCAGTGCTACAGAAGGACTATCTCACTACAGGTGTTTTCCCTTCCAAGAGGCAAAAGAGTGGATAGAAGAACATAGGTAGATAAGGTAAAGAGTCGTGATTGTCCATATAGAATATGAAAGAACACCTGACCACACAATCGTTTGCTGTATAAAAGGAAATCATAACATTAACGCATCCCAAGACCTTGTTGGCTTAAAATATATATTCCTGAATTCATAGTAATCATGGGTATTGGTGTTTTCTGAGTTAATAACAATTTTATTCTTGCAAAACATAGGATATACTTCAAGGTATAATTGCTAAATACTAGTCAGGAGGTTTTGATTGCACCATAGAATAGCTCCTGGTGTAGTAGTTGTTGGTTTTCTACTTCATGGTCAGCTTGGGTGTGATATGTAAGTGCTTAGCTAGACCTCAGGATAAAATAACTGTTGATTATTGAAACAACCAGTGGCTTGGAATTAATTAGGGAACAGACAACTACATTGATAGTTTTACAAATATTTGAACCAAGTCATTACTGAAATTTCACTCTGGTGCGGTGGGCGTATTCAAATGCAAATGAATGAAGTCTTGGCCCCTGGTTCAGTAACAGATTCTGGCAGTAGACATGTCTAACCAGCTAATGGAACAGAGTGGAGAAATCCAAATGATCTGTAGAGAAGTACCAATATCATAGTCTGGAAAGCCAAGGTCGGTGGCCTTGTGAGAATGCTAATGCTTCCTCCAAAGCTACTCTTCCAAAATAGCATGCAGGGAGGTGATTGCATTTTTCCTGAATTCAGTTTTTAAGCTTTTAGGTGCATACACTGAAAATAATAAAGTTAGGATAAGCACCTGTTCTCGTAGAGTATGTTTATGTTATCTTCAGTTGGAAGCAGAAGAAACAGCAAAAAACAAAATAAAAAAAAAAAAACCAGAAAGCATTAATGCTCACATCCCAACATAGCTATGACCACAAACAGAACTTAGATGATTCTAGTGAAAAAAGGTACTGTCAACACTTAAAATAATTATAGAAATAGCTTGGGTTGGATGGCTCCTGGCCCCTCTAGGATCTGTACTCTGACTTTGTACCTAAGAAGCATTACCCAGGATCCACCGCTGACCCTGCCCACCCTTCCCAACCCCAGTGGCCTGACTCGGCCTCCCTGTTTGTTTTAGTGGCCCTCCTCTTCTCAGCACTGAAGCTACCCCACATTTGAACCTGCCCTATCCTGCAAGACGCCTTTTGTCTGGACTCCTTTCACAGAATCCTTGTCAGTTTTATTCCCTTCCGCTCAGGCATCTGGAGTGAATAACTTTTTTGTTTGTTTGTTTGTTTGTTGTTTTTTGAGACAGGGTTTCTCTGTGCAGCTTTGGAGCCTGGCCTTGAACTCACAGACATCCGCCTGCCTCTGTCTCCTGAGTGCTGGGATCAAAGGCGTGTGCCACCCCACCGCCCAGCATGAATAATTTTTATACCAAAGAAGTCTGCCTGAGGAGATGTTTCCAAAATTTATTCTTGTTGGGCCTTAACACTGGCCCCCAGAATGGCCAACTTTCTCCATTAGCTAAAGCCCACAAAACTTCAAACTGGGAACATGGAGACACTAGCCCCAGCTATGGGACAACACCCAGGCTCCCCAAGCTACCAGTACCTCAAACATATCCTTGAAAACAAACGGCAGAATATGAATGGGAATTTTTCACTCTAGCTCAGTAAGACTCATGAGCTTAATATTATCGGACACACTGGTGTTCGTTCTTTTCTGGTGATCATTGCTATGTCTGAAGCCCCCGGGTCTCCTTACAGATTTGTTTCTCTTTTGGCTTTTTGTAGGTGAATTTTCAGGGCATCCCCTAATGTTCCCATTCCATACTAGTTTCTGGTATCAAATGTCCCAGAAGCAGGCTTCTTCCTTGGCACAGGGCTTCCAGGAAGCCTTGAGGTCCTTTCCTGAGCAGGGAGAAAGGCTCAAAACCAGCCCTGAGGATTCTCAACACAAAGCATGGGGCACTGGTGGCAGCTCCCATCCCAGCCATCACAGATGACAAGAAACCAGCCACCACCTGAAATGTTTTCTATCCAGATTCTGTCCAAACATCAATGAATAAAAACAGAGTCCCCAAAATGAAGAGATACTCGAGTCAGTTAGAGGAATACACCCTAGTTTATATTCTCTATTTTACAAGCTCCTCAATTAAAACCGACCCATTTAACACACTTTCCCTTAACAGACAAATAGTTTTCATCTTCCCAGGAAACTCTGATTGCAATTAACATGGAGTGTTGCCAGTTCATTCCCTGTAGGTCATACACAAAGCACTTGTAGTTTTAGGTGTCATTTTAAACTTCCATTATGTTCACATTATAAAGTTGTAAATTATGTGTTTCTTCTCAGTGTTTGATTCCAACATTTAATGGAGAAGCCTTTAGCATGGGCAGTGTGGGACTTTCTTGGACTCCATGGGTTTTCACAATAGCCCCCTCTGCCATACCTCTCTAGGCTAGCATAGCCCCCTTCCCACCCACTCAGAATTGACACTTATGCTGACTAAATCCTTTAAATATTGAAGGTCCTTGAGTGACACGAAACTCTTTCCCATGACCTTCGACATGCTGTGTCTCCGAACACCAAACACCAACAATTGTTCTCTTGTCTATTTAATCGTTTTCCACACAGATCCCATGCTTCTTTTAAGTATTCCCTAAGGTCCTCTGTCATTGTTATCACAGAAGTACCCCAGACAAGAGTCCCCAAAATAAGGGAGTACCTGCATTCCATTCTCTCAAATGACTCATTCCCTGCTTGTCTGTTTCCAGTCTGGGACAGAAGTTCTGAGCCTGATAAGGTGGGCAGCTGTTGACACTGCCCAGCACAGTGTCATTGTAGTCCCTACTAAGGATAAAAGATAATGGCACTGATCCCTCTAAATGCCTAGAAGAATGTGTGTTAGCACACTGAGCTCTGCTGCTGTTAGTGGGGAAGTTTTACGTGCTCTTTCCTTCCGGTAATACTGCTTTCCCTTTGATAGCTTTCCCGATAGATAAATTACTCACTGGAGAGCTGAACTACACCAGCAGGACCCTCAGGCTACTAGTTGCCCAGCCAGATTTTTTTCCTCTCCACCTTGTCTGTCTGAAAGAGCATAGGAGAGAAAGAAAATCCTATTTTTCCCTATACTTTCTCACCAAATCCATGCAATTTAAATTAAAAAACAAGTAAAATTTTAATTAAGTATTTTACAAACCCCTGTACCTCCCCACCCCCCAATGCCGAGCCAAAGCATTGCCTCCTTCCTCCTATGGAAATATGCAAAATAACCAGGAAGAAAGAGTTAGCATTTCAGTTGTAGAAAATGCAATATTTGTAGTAGAGTCTATGTAACAGCATCATGTGTAACACACAAAAGCAAATGGCAGTGGCTCACATAATAGGCTTCACTGTGGATATCTATTCTAATAAGTATATTTTTAAATGACCGAGACTCTTTAAGTCATTAGTGTATGTACGATAAACTTGCTTTCTGTTGGTTGTAGACCAAGTGAGTCTTTACATGTATTTTTACATATTGATTAAGACCCCACCTAGGCTCAAAGGCCAGTGAGCATAAATTGCACTCTGTGTGAGAACAGGTCCACACATCAAGGTTCAGGTTGCTTTTTCTTCCAGTTATTTTTGGGGACAAGTGAAGGTTCACAGATGTGATTTTTATTCCATAGTCATTATTATTTATTTATTTATGTTGTAAGAATGAAAACCCAATGAGTCCTGGAAATGTTTGAACTACATGAGACAAGGACCCCCATCTTCTCAGCCTACACTGCTTACAAAATAGATGCGGACTGAGAGTCTCCGAGCGTGTCATCGGAAGGAGCGTATTGCTGTAAAGGATAGGAAGAGGCTTGTGAAGATGATAAAGCAGGGCATGGTAACACTTGAATGAATGATCTCCACCTTCCCTTCCAGGTTCCACTCAGTGCCACCATGTCACCAGTGCGTCTGCACTCCTCCAACCCCAACCTTTGTGCAGATATTGAGTTTCAGACCCCTCCTAGCCACCTCACCGACCCTCTGGAAAGTTCCACAGATTATACAAAACTACAAGAAGAATTTTGTCTGATCGCACAGAAAGGTAACGCAGCAAGGTGTTTGCTTTGATGGTGGAGAATTTGAAGATCATTGTTTGCTCGGCATCCACAGGTTGACTCTCTAAGTTTCACGTGCCAGATATTTACAGCACAACCAGATGCCACTTTAATTTTGTAACCCTCAAATAATCATTTTATAGTTTTTCCCCCCTATGGATGTGCTTATTGATACCATCTTCTCACTCCTCATAAATGAATTTTTAATTGCTTTGTTAAACAGGGTGCTAATAGTGTGATCAGAGCCAATGGTATTCCTTGCAGCTCAGATTCGTAACCAGTGTCTTTGCTTCTGGGTTGGGGGTGGCAGTAGTTGGAGAGAGGCAACACATCAGTGAACACAGCACAGGGAAAGGGATAAACTTGATGGCAACCCCAAGACAGCTTTGTTTGGTTGGTTACAGTCCTGAAGCTTTTCAGAAACACAAGTTTCCACAGTGTTTGAAAGCCTCTGTTAAAACTACCGGCTTTTTCAGCAGACATACAGATCCTCCATGCAAGGGAGACAAAATGGACAGATCCATGCCTTCCCTGAACTCTTTGAAAAGGCACTGTGAGGCACTTTTAAAGTCAACAGCAGGATTAATCCCAGCTGGCAAGTTGTTACCTTTCAGTTGATGGTGGAATGTTGCGCGCATGAATTAAAAGATTATGAGCCAGCAGGTGTAGCTCAGTAGTAGAACATTGATTGACCTTGCTTGATCAGGATCTGGGTTCCATCTCAGCATTGCAAAATAAAAGTGTTTGTCAGTCAGTCTTATCTCCAACACAGATTGTGAATTCTTTAGGTTCCTTCATCCCCGCACCACCACCCTTAATTCAGACTACTATTTTGTACTAGATTTTAATACCTCTAAAAATAACCTTTTTCGAATAAGGAAGTCTATTTTTGAAGACTTTGCACGCTTTTGAAACACTGTTAACATAAAAATAAGAATCGTTAAGTTCAGCCTTTTGCAGTTCAAACCACAAGACTGCCTCAGATTTCACCACTATAACTTGTCAGATATGCAGGAAATGAGGGAGAAGTGTTCTTTTTTTGTTGTTGTTTGTTTTTTGTTGTTGTTGTTTCTGTTTTTCGAGAGACAGGGTTTCTCTGTATTGTTTTGGAACCTGTCCGAGCTCTGTAGACCAGGCTGGCCCCGAGCTCACAGAGATCCGCCTGCCTCTGCCTCCCCGGTGCTGGGATTAAAGGTGAGTGCTGCCAACGCCTGCTTGAAGAGTGTTCTTTTTATCATCATTGCTTTTGAATCAAAGCACCTTTGACATTGAGATACTTACTGCTGACAAGGCAGGCCAGTGCTGCTTTTAAATCCAAATCATTTCCCACTCCAAAGAAGCCAGCCAGAACTGTGTATCCACTGCCTGCTTTATGTTGACAGAACTCATAAAGTGCTCTTTGTTTGGAGGTGTACACTCGTGAAAATAACTCTGTAATAACTCTTGAGTTGCATGACACTTTAGCAGAATGGCTCTAAATATTATCATCCAACATGACAAACAAAGCATGCTTTGTCTTTTTGATATATAAATTAATTTCTAAGTATTGCTGTACAGAATTGGCATTGATATTTTGTGTGTTGCTTCCAAATCTGTGTTGGCTCATCTGGTATGAGATATAAAAATTTCCATTTTAATTAATTACAGTTGCCATATTTGTTTTGAGTATGGACACCCAGATAGATTCTAGTTTTTGTTTTTTTCTAAAGACTGATTTTTTTTTTCCCCTTAGTCATACTATAACCTAGTCTTTCTGGAAAATGTCTAGATACCTGATAGTGTCAACAGAAGTTGACATCCTGTATGTTCGTTCTACTATAGTTAGTGTTTGTTTCTTGATTTTTCTCCCTGCTCAGTGCATTCTCTTTTGAAGTCTGCATTTAACAGCATAGCGATAGAGAAAGAGAAACTGAAGCAGATGGTTTCTGAGCAAGACCACAACAAAGGCCATAGCACACAGATGGCCAGGCTCCGACAGTCACTGTCACAGGTAAACCCAAGTGTTTTCTTATGCATGACCAACAAAAGATGCCAGGCAAAGGATGAGGGAGGGGGGCAGCAGCACTGGGGATGGCATGTCCCTCTGACATTCTCCCAAGACATTGCAGAGTCAGTGTTGACTTATTAGTTTTCTAAAATTGTCAAGGTAAGAGTGAAAATGAACAATAACTTATCTGAGTACATATAAATTGTGATTTTGACTACTTGAGTTAATGTCTAGGGCCATTTTTCAGGCAGCTCCTGATTATAAAGAAACAACAAGCATTTATACATGATTTACATGTTTAAGGAATATGCCGGGATATATTCAATCTAATGGTAAATAGAACAAAATCTACTAGGCCTTCCAAACTTTATATTTTAATCTGTTGAAAGTTACTAATGACTGTGAGTAGGTAATTAATAGGTAAATGGGTAATTACTAATTAATAGTAAATAGGTAACTACTAATTACCTACTTCTTTTCTGATTTCCATTCTTGGGATTTCCTTCTGTCTGTTATGCTCCTGAACTAAACTTCTGTATTTTAGCATATATCATATTTTATTTTACCGAGTAACCACACCCCTGAATACCTCAGCATTGAGGTTTCTGTTACAATCAAAAGCGACATGTTTCTTCCTCTGTAATAAACATTTTCTTCAGCCAGTCCTTAATCCCACTTGGTTTGATTTTGAGCATGCAATGCTGTTATGTGATTTTTGTATGAGAACTCAGTGTTTATATAAAATATTGTTCACTTCCTGGTGCCTTGGATCAGAGTGAAGGAGCCAACAAATCCTGGGTAAGTGGCTCTCCGTGTGGACCCGACCCTGCTTGACTATTTCCCGTAGTCCCTAAAAAAGGAAATGTGAACGCTCATCATTGTGGTTTTTGTTCCTGACCTGTCAATGTTTTCAGTATTCAGTCTCCTATGATGATGTGCCAGTGTCTAGGCTACACATTCCCTACCACCACAAATACCATGCTGCTTCTGTGCCAATCCACGGCCTCAGGGGCATGTGTGTCACACAGTGCCTGTCTGGCAGCCAGCAGAGAACTTCACCTAGCAAAGGTTCTGACATCTGCTCATATCACTGAATCCACCAGTGCTCCATTAATGTTAATTGATCTTCTGGGTCATTGTTGTGAATGTACCATGAAGCAGAAAGATCAAAATAGTAGATGTCATCTTGAAGACACATAAAACACACCCTGCACCCCAAAGTATGTTTGATGACGTTATCTTAGTGACATAAATTGGACATATACTGAGAAAAATAAGAAAACTTGTGTCTTGCTTGCTGCTTGCTTGCCTTGTTTATCTCTCGTTAAGACAAAGAATTGACTTGAGATCTAGGGATATCAGCAGGCTGATAGAATGCTTGCCTCGCATGCACAGAAAGTTCAGGTTCAACCCACAGGGCCACATAAAAGTGGGCAAAGTGATGTGTGCTTTGTAATGTGTGGAAGCAAGAAGATCTGCTATTGAAGGTCTTCCTTGCTACATTGTATTTTTGAAGTTGGACTGGGATTCATGAAATCCTGACTCAAAAATGGATAGAGATCTAGGATTTGAAAGAATCTAGAAATGACTAGGAAGAGAGCCCAGTGGTAGCAAATCATTTGTTCATTTGTGTATACATTTAACTGACTAAATATTATGCAAGATATGGAATACCACAGGCCTGGTTTCCAAGAAGCTCATGATCTTGTTGGTAAGTGAACACTGTCCATCCACCCAGGAAAGAGTTAAAGGGACCACACTGTGCCGTTCACAGCAGTGTTTGGTGTGACAGATTTCTGAGGTTGTTGAGAAGCAAGCAATCACAGAGCCAAGAGCACAGACAGGGATTTGACTTCCTCAAGAGGCATGTCTGAGGGAATGAAGGACTCAACCCTAAAGTGATAGGGGTAAAATCAATCATATACACTTTGAATACAAATAGTTCCCTCTCTTGAGAGATACTTGTTTGCATCCTGAATCAGGACCTCGTTAGATTTTTCTTGGGTTGTTTGGTTTAGGGTTGTTATACTCCAGTTTTCCTACCAACCAAAGGGCCCAAAAGATGTGAAAATAATTTGGGACTATCAAGACCATTGCACATTAGCCCCTGGAGAATTTGATGCTTACACTGTGTATCATAGCTTTTGGCTACATTATCACACCTGTCTATAGAGTTCAGTTGATTCAGTCAAGCATATGCTGGCTTCTTTTGCCATCACTGCTGTGGTGATTTCTGTTTTAGAACACTCAATAGAGTTCTAGAAAATTTGACGAATGGGGAAGTCATTCAATGGTAACCAGCCCATTGAGATACAAAGTATTAAATGTATGCTATCAATGATAAGGGAGGCTTAAAAAAGTTTAACTATCAGAAATTGAAACTATTATGGCAACTATGTATATTAGAAAGATTGGTCAGGTATAGTAGAATGGAGAATGGATGAAACGAAGGCAAAAACCAATTGGCCAGATTCATTATTTGACATAACTTGAGACTCTCTTACAATGTGTGGGGTAATATTCCCAAAGCAAAGAGGTTTCATGGTTGGTAGAGTGAAGCCTGGGTTTGAAACACATTAGGGGATCAACATGGCTGGTGATCAGCTGAACATTAGGAAGGGGCTAGAAAGCAGAGTCCAGCCTGGTTTGATAACATGGTATGTGAGTTCTTTCTCTCCAGAAGAGGGGAAATAGAAGGGACATATTTATCAGAGGCTTGTGTTAGATGATTTTGGTGAAGGAGGTTAATGTCTGTAGGTCATCATGCAAGTGGAGATATGTATCTTCATCTTGAGGGGCAAAAAGAAAGAGAAGGAAACCCCGGTGTCTCAGGGACATTGAAGATGTTGATGAGTTGTTTCCAGACAAAACAGAAGAGGACCAGTGGTGCTTATGCTGCAGAGAACATCAATATTTTAAGAACAGTTACTGCAGTTGTGGTGAAACACCATGACGAAAAGCAACTTGGCATGGAAAGGGTTTATTTGTCTTACATAATCTGAATTACACAGTCCATTAAGGGAAGCCAAGGCAAGAACTCAAATTGGCCAAGAACCTCAAGTAAGGAACTGGTGTAGAGGCCATGGAGAGGTGCTTCTTACTGGCTTGCTCCTCATGGATCCTGTTTTGTTTCTTTGTTTAAATAAAACTCAGATCCATCAGTCCAGAGATATACCTACCTACAACTGATGGGCTCTCCTCCATCAATCACTAATTAAGAAAATGCCCTATAGGCTTGCCTACAGTCTATCTTATGGAGGCATTTTCTCAACTGAGGTTCCTTCCTCTCAGATGACTTTAGCTTGTGTCAAGTTGATATAAAACTAGCCAGGGCTAGGTTAAGAGATATCCTCTGATGGAGATCCATGTTGAGCTGCCAGAGGAATTGCAAGTGATGGCCACCGAGGCCAAGGGTAGATCATTTCTTGGCTAAGATCAAGTGGAGGCCAATGATAGAGCTTTGAGAATCTTAAAAAAGGAAAAGAAAATTAAAATCCTATTTAGCAGCAAATAGCGTACGAACTGAATGATGTTCTTGAATATGATAGTCATATCAGCATGTGTTATTAGGAGCAGATACTGAGAGTAGGAAACAACCAATTGGGGCATCATAGCCAGCACTTTTTTTTTTTTTTTTTTTTTTTTTTTTGCCTAGTCCCATCTTAAGACTGCACAAGTACCAAATAGTTCAATACATTGAGGTAGTTTGTCTTCACTCCCTATGTATATTTTCATGTTAGCATAACTTCATGTTAGAATGTGCTTTCAGGTAACCTAAAGGCACCTTTGGCCCGTAGACCTGTCAACAGCTGAACCCCCAGATGTCTTCCTCATGGTCTCCCTACAGAGAGGGAGGAAAGAGAGAGGTGGTAGTTAATAACTTAAATAGACTGGCATTGTTATAGTTCATGTTTTATTTGACGTAAGTCCTATTTGGTAGATACCTAATACCTAATGATTAACAGACACTTTTTCGGGAATCTTCTCAGTATATATCATATCAGCTCAACAGATTCCATCATCCTTTTAGCCTGCACATAGCACATGAAGTAGGTGAGCTTAGCATTCTTCACTACATACCTGGCAAAAGTTGTTACCTGCCTTGAGTGAGTAGAAACTTACAAGGCTAGAAAGAACAATAGATTCCTCTTCCTTAATGTATACAGACACAAACACAACAGAAGTGTGTAATTTTACTCCTCATGAAACATAACTTTCGCACCAATAACAAGCGTAGATATTGGATATATATGCATGGAACAGGATATTTTCTGTGGCACCTGTCCCTTATAGGTGACTGAATTTAACATCAGCCCTCATTTCATGAGCACAAAAATCAAATTGTGTAGTATAAAACTAAGACAGCATTGGCACTCCCAATTAACAATAGTAACGTATCGGGGTGTGCAGGGTTTTTTTCTGCAGTGTAGTGTGCTGCATTACTGTCTCTAGTTTACTTTCTCATCCCAGAATTTATACACAGCTTGTGCAGAATACAGTGTAAATTGAGTCTCTATAAACGTGAGCAACAGCAACAGCATCTGACCCATCTACTCCAGCTGGAATTACTGTGTTTCACAACATCAGCATGCCACAGTCATTAAGGGCATCACTATTTTGTGCATTGCTGAGAAGGGAGGGAAAAAAAAACATAGCTGTCAATTGAACTGACAGAGTACTTCAGGGGCAAAATGGTGTAGGGGAAATGTGCATTTAGAATTATTGAAATGTGCTAAGACTGAGACTGGAAGCAAAAGGTTAGCATGGGGGCATATAATGGCATGATTTAACATCCCAGCTGTACTATCTGTCACCCTCTCTGTCCACAAAACTTCACACACCACAAAGAGGTACTCTATAATGGGAGAAAAATTCTAAGTCTATTTATTTGTTTCTGAATTGCACAATTCTCTGGGACTCCAGGAAATCTGGGGGGGGGGGTATGGAAATGGTTTTCATAGACTCCTTTACAAGTTTTCAGCTGCCTATCAAGTTTCAATGATAACCCATTGTCTCTGTAGGTCTATGCTGATAACACAACGTATTTATTGTAGTAAAACTTTGTAACTACGTAAGTGTCCAGTAATAGGAAACCATTGCCTACCATGTAGCCACCTACATCATGTTTATAAAGAGTTTGAAGCATATGTTCATGACCAGAAAATAAAGTACAGATAAGAAGTAAATATCGCGTGCCTGGGAAACAGTATAAAAAGTGCATAGGAAGGAGGGAAAAGCGAGGAAGAATGACACACTGGTAATACCAGTTGAATAGTAAATTTAAAAAACACATATTTTAGACTCTTTTTTATTTTCTAAATATAGCAGTATTTTAATAAAAAAAACCAAGAATATTTGTTCAGAATTTGAGTTTTGACTATTTTCTTGCATTAATTTTCTCACTTATATTGAACCAGCTTCCTTTACCCAAATGGTTAGGGTTTCATTGTATGAACACGCTTACTGAGTGTTAGTCATCCTTCTCCAACTCAGGGAGCCATGTTTCCTTCCCAGAACCCACAATCCCACTTAGTCAATCGATCTTACCAGTGTCTCCCTGAGTCTAAGTTAAATTCCCATCTCTTGTCTGAAGAAGTTGGGACTTAAGGGTTGATTATGGGTCATATGATAACTTTCTGGATTGAACAAGAAGGAGTTGCTTTTTTCTTTTTTAATGTTAGACACTGGTATGTTTGAGGACAAGATGCAGGGGGATGGGCATGCTCTGTGGGGTCTTCCACACAGTCTAAGCTCACTAGTAAGTGCAGATGATCCCTGTATGGCTGCTCAGTGAAGACTGTAGGCTTCACATAGTGCTTCTCCCTGTTGGCCTTGGCCCCTATGTATAAAACAAATCGATACTCTCCCAGGCAGGCCTCCCTAGTTTCACTTGCGCAGTGGCTGGAATCTGCCTCCCTTTTCCTTGCTTTGTCTGTTTGTTCTCCTTGAGCACATTCACAAATTATTTTCACCATCTTCTGTGCTCTCTCAGACTGTTGTCACTCCAGTTGTCATTGTTCTTTCAATACCTGTGTTCCTCAGTATTTTCAATTTCCGTGATACCATTAGAAAATGTGATGCTGGACCCTGGTGGGGAACGCTGTACCCAGTCCTCACACACTTGGCTGCAACAAGTTTCACAAGCAGACTGATGATCAAGGCAAAGGGAGGAGCTAGCCTGAGTAAGACTGCTAAAACGGGCTGATGCATGCATGGTGGCCGGCTTGGGATTGCCAGAGTTAGAGTGACTTATTTCTACTTACTCTGTGTCAAAAAAACAAGTCTTGCATCTACCACTGCATATATATTATCAAAGAAGTCATTTCTTTCCAATATTTGCTCCGAATTCCATGTAGGCAATGCCTGGTTGAAGTAAAAATAGGATTTAGTCTTGTAGGTCTGTTACAACTCTGAAATTTAGGACTAATAAAATGCATTGTACTGCACATAAAAGTAGAAGCCAAGGTTTTTTTTTTTTTTTCTTTCATGCACTGTCAGCATATTGGCAACAGATTGTAATTATTCACCATGCAAATTAGCACATATCCTTGATCTCAAGCACTAGCAATAATTTCAGAAGACTTAACTTGAGAAGTTTGAAAAGAAAAATTAAGAACCTTTGTCCTTCATCTCAATAAAGAACACACTTAAATTTTTTCTTTGGTTACCATAATGCCTGTTGGCTACCCGACTGAGTAGAAAATGGGGTTTTAACACTAAGAAAATTAAAGATGTGGGTTAAAACATCTCTCTCCAAATTATCCCAATAAATGTCAAAGTAAGATACACATAATGGTGAAATACCGTGATCATTTCCTGTTAGGCAGCTGGATGCCTAGGGTCGGGCCTTGGAAGTTTAGAAAATGCTTATACTCCAAGTGTAAATATCAGAAAGCTCTCTGCTCCAAAATTATTTTTCATTCCTGGAGGTATGCGGTTGTTCTTCTGAATGGTGCCCTAGAAGCACCAGGCAAGATTTCAACTTGGCATTATATTCAGATTTGAAAAAGGCTTCAGAAATTACCCACAACTGCCTTTCTTTGTATCTAAAGAAATCACAGCCCTTGGGGGGCAGAGGGAGGTAGATCTCAGTGAGTTTGAGACCAGTCTGGTCTACAAAGCAAGTTCCAGGACAGCCAGAACTATTAATCAGAGAAACCCTGCCTCAAAAACAAAACAAAACAAACAAAAAAAAAAAAAAAACAGAGAAATCAAAGCCCTTAGCCCAGACACAGTAGCACAAGTTTGTAATCCCAGGTATTCAGAAGACTGATGCAGGAGAATTCCAAGTTTTAGGTTTAGCATGAGCAATTTAGCGAGGCCATGTCTCAAAAATAAAAGAACAGGCTGGAGGAAATATAGTCTACCGACAGCATGTGTAAATCTAGGAAATCTTATTGTCACTCCCAGAATTTTCCCATTATATGCCGGAAAAAGAAGAGGTTATCTCCACACTTAAAGCAAACACACACAAAAAAACTCTACTACTAATTTCTTTCTACTAATATTAATACTTGCAGTTTTTTCTGTATGTCCTTCCACACACACTATCTATGTAAGCAATATCTATTAATAACTATCTATTAATGCAAATTGACTATTCCCTCAGAGGAATTGGTTTACAACATTCCTTGTCAAAGGGGAAAAGAGTTTAACATCCCCACCCCCAAAGAAAACCATTACCCTTGTGGTTTCATGGGGGCCGATTCATAAACAGTACTCCAGTGTCAACAGGAGATGTGGTCATTTTAAAAAGAAGGGATGGTTGAGATTTTACATGAAAATCTCAAGTCAAGACTGATTCTTCCCATCAGCTCATCAAAGCCCTCCCACTTATAGGGTGTGGCAAAGTAGATTTGGCCCGAATATTTCAACAACTGTGTGTACTTATGGGCAAAGGAAATAACCCAACGAACAAGTGCTCTTGCTACAAAGGATAAGTCTGAAGCATCCGCTTTTTTCTTTTTCAAATTCTTAAGTGGTACTTTATCCCCTGTTAAAAATGATTTGAGCACTTTTACCAGATGACAAGGCATTAGAATTCTCCCTTTGAGGCAATTGGTTTACTTACACACCTCTCTCCTAATGTACCCATGGTTATTAGATAACCAGGCATTTCCTCCTCTCCTCAAATGTAATGCTGATGGATCAGTAACCACCTTCAGTCAACCCATACTTGTCATAGTAGATTCAATGTGTTGCTTGACGTATCACACAAGCTGGTTTTGAATACTTTAAACAAAGGTTCTAAGTAATTCTGTCCTCACAATACAAAACTGGAGTTAAAGGTGGGAACGAGGCCGGGGAAGGAGAAAAGAGGCAAGACAGCGTTTGCTCTGTGTTGGAGGTGTGAACCTTGCCCAATGAAGCTGTCGGGTTTTGATCCTTATGTTTATAGAGTACTTGGATGGATTCAATTATAATTATCAAATACTGCTTGCACATATATTGGTTTACCATAGCCACTGACTCTGAATGAAGGAAAATGCACATTCCCCAGGGTAGATGCCCTTCAGTGAGCCCTGACAAATATTGTCTACTCTAAAACATCTAGGTCCATTTCAAACTTCCCATTTTTAACAGAAAGGAAGGGATTGCCCACCTTTGCACAGGCCTTGTCCTCACATAGGCATCTCACCTGAAGCTTTCCCTGAAATTTCCAGTGAGCTGAACCCTGACCCAGAAATGATCATATTCCCAAGCATCCGTGTGAAATGCAGAATGCCCCCATGCTTTGTTCATAGGGGCCCTGTTAGGGGCACGCTTATGTGAAGCTGTTCTGTTCTTGTATTAAATGCAGCTGCTGCATGTGCTAGACTGTGTGAATGGTGTTTTACCAATGCTTATTTCTGGTGTGTTCAACGCACTGTGATGTAGTGAAACTCAGAGTTGGTTTGCTGTTGGACTTATGTTCTTATTATGGTTGTCCACGTCCACACTATTCAGCAAAGTGCCTGCTAAGTTGCGTTTGTGTGTTCCACTGTATTGCCAAGAGGATTAGTGTGAGCTCCTGAAAAAAAAAAAAAATTCCCTTTTCCTTTAATCAGACTGAAAGGCAATTCTGTATACTAAAGCCAGTTCGTTAATTATCCCAAAGTTTTTTGAGACGCTGACCTACCTTTGAAATGAATCCTAAACTTTAGAGAGAAGAACAAAAGAAAACCATGAAAGAATCAATAACTTTAATCCCAGACTTCACAAGATAATATATATGTGGTGGTATTCTGGTCTTGGATGTAATGGGTCTGCCTCTAAGGAGGAGAAAATCCATGTATCATTTTTATGAAGCCCATTAAATATTTCAGTTCACTAACCTACTTAAGTAGTGGTCTTATATTATGAAAAGTAACGTCATAACTCTGAGCCATTTATTTCCTTCTTGACTGACATGGTCCAGCGCATGGTAAAGTCTAAACTAAGAGTATCTCAGAGCATCTCAGAATGTTGCTGTCTCAAGTTGTCCCTTGTATTTGTTTGTAACACTTGCTTATTAATTTGCAGTTACAATTGCAGTTTTTGTTACTTTAAGGCACTCAACCAGAATGCTGAGCTCAGGAGTCGGCTGAACAGAATACACTCAGAGTCTATCATTTGTGATCAGGTTGTCAGTGTAAATATTATCCCTAGCCCTGACGAGGTAAGGCTCATGAATAGATGTAGAACACCCATTTTATGACATCTAAATTACTGCATATTTTTTCTTATCTTAAATAGTTGTTTTCTGTTAACATTATTCTCTCCGTAAATATTTGTGTTACAGACATCTCAGTATTCTTTGAAGTAAAAGATGTGTGTGAACTTGACATCATTCATTCTTGGTGATCACTGTCTTTTTAAATTTATTTCTATATTCACCTGATGTCACCAAGTAATTTATATATCTCCTCCAGCTCATTTGTTTTCTGTATCTGTTTTTGTTCTTTTTAAAAACATGTTCATTATCACCAGATGTCTAATGAAATTCTGAAAAAGAATTTAGCTGACAAATTGTTAAATAAAAATGGCTTACATGTTTCTTTGGAAGAAGTCATCTAGGGAGAGAAACTACCTTTTCTTGCTAAAACAAAGCTCATTGTGCTGCGAGAGCCCTTCATGATGACTCAGACAATCAAAAGCCAGCCAGGACGGAAGTGTAGACGGGTGTTTGCCTAGCATATGGAGGCCCTGGTATAGCTAGCAGGTGCCCAGTGTCCTGGGTACTGCTCTGACCAGTTCACATTGTGCTTCATATGTCATTCTCAATAGCCTCTATAGTACATGCTATTATTCTATTCTTTAATATTGAAGAAATGGCATGAAAATAGAAAAACATCCAGAACGTAGGCTAAAATGTATGTAAGCTTTTGTAAAGTTCTGTTTTACTAATCATGAGAAATTGAAGCTTTGTATATGGCAGCGCATCTAACAAAGTGAGAGCTTAAACTAATCCTAAGGTCATATCTGCACCAAAGCAATAAATGTTAACGTAAGTCAGACCCAAGCATTCTGCTTGAAATAACCCAAGGCATCCTACCTTTGACTCAAGTTGTCCACTGTTTCCATTCATCTTTAGGGTTCCTCTGAACTCTAATCACATTTACATCCACTTAATTGCTCAGAATCTAGGAATATTTATAAGTGAAAAGATATTTAGATCCAGCAAGGTGATTCAGCGAGTCAAGGCACTTGCCACCAAGTCTGAGTTCAGTCCCTGGGGAACCATATAGTGGTAGAGAGAATAGACCGCTGCAAGTTGTCCTCTGAACCACCCCCTATACACATGTAAGTGTGTGTACCCCCATGTGTACACCCAATAAATAAATAAATGTGATTTTAAAGTTACTTAATGATCCCTAACTGGACTCTTCAAACCTGAAAAATGAATTAGAATATTTATCATATTCTTAAAATTCTTTCTAAATAAAGTTATCTTCCTTGAAAGCAGTTGTTTGTACCTTTGCTCATATAAACAGTATTTCACTTGAAATGACATTCAGTAGTCTAGACATGCTTAATTGATTTAAAATCCATGATTTTACTGGAAATTGAATCATATATATCCTATTTCAGGAATTAGTCCTATAATTTAGTTGTCTCAAGTCTGAAGGAGTTTCTGTAATTACTTCTTGAGTTTTAATTTACTGCTTAAACCAGTGGTTCTCAATCTGATGATCATGAACCATTTGGGGGAGGGGTGCATATCAGATATCCTGCATATAAGATATTTACATTACAATTCATAACAGTAGCAAAATTACAGTTATGAAGTAGCAATGAAAATAATGTTACAGTGGGGGTCACCACAATGTGAGGAACTTTATTAAAGTTTGCAGCATTAGGAAGGTTGAGAACCACTGGCTTAGCTTGTGACTGGTAATGACAGGCATAAGAGCACAGTCAGTTCACGTTTTTTAAAAGAGGTTTCACCTGTGAAATTCCATTTGCTACCAGTAGAGCATAGACTTGAAATCAAGTTGTGATGTCGACATCCTTTAACTCTGCCTCTGGACATCTCTAGACATAGTAGATAGACTCATATATGGTAGTAGGTGAAACTCAGTCACTAGTGATAACAGACAGTTTGGAATTCTCTAGAAATCTAATTTGGAGGACTAGCAGTGCTCATAGGAGGGAAAACATGATTCTGTCATATGCTTCTCTCTCCTATAGGCTGGTGAGCAAATCCATGTCAACCTCCCTCTGTCACAGCAGGTGGCCAATGAGAGCCGCCTCTCCATGTCAGAATCTGTGTCAGAGTTTTTCGATGCCCAAGAGGTGCTCCTGTCTGCAAGCTCATCAGAGAATGAGGTAAGGGTGTGTCCTGGGTGTGTCCATCTCATCTGTGAGTTTGGCTAAAGACTGTAAGCCTCTGGGACTTTGTGCTGTTTATGTGTTGTCTGTTTATGGCACAGGAAGAGGCTCACATTATAACAGAGCCCATGTGTAAGCCACCATAGTGCTTCCCTTTCCTGAGCATTTCACAGTGCTTCTGGGCTGCAACTTGGGGCTCTTACTTGGATGAATAAAGAGAAATGATCAAGTATTTATTCGAGACTGAGTAACCAAACCATTGGTAGCAGAGCTCATCACAGAGACAATTTGGTTATACAGAAAGGACGGGAGAATTAGAAACCATTTCTCTTGGACAACTTAACATTTCTACAAGGCAAATCCAATCATGTCCCGGTCCTTGGTATTCTTAGGATAGCAATTTAGCTGTCACACAAAAGTGCTCGTAATCTGATCTCAGTACTCAGGTGCAGCCTCATGTTCCTTTTTGTTCTAGATCCTTCCAACAGCCAAAGAAGTGATTCCTGGAGTTATCAGTTTGCTAAAGACGTCGTATTGTCCCTTGTAACAAAGAGAAGTAGTCTCTTGAGTGACCCACACTGGAGAGAACTGGACTACATACCTATCCTTGTGCCTTGTGTTTCAGAGGTTTTCAAAAATAGTGCCTTTTACTCATGCCTTCTTCCTGTACCACAATACCAGGAGTTAGTCAGGGAATAAACGCAAATGACAGTCACTGTGATGTTCTCGGAGTTTTCCCTTCTTTTTAGTTAACGTGTGGCCCCCAGGTGAATCTAATCTGATCCAGTCTCTTGAGATTCCTCATGATGAGAACCCCGTAGATGGCTCCTCAGACCTTTCTGCTGACAGCCTCGACAAGCCCACCCAGTGAGTCAAGCATTGGTGTGTGAATTCCAATAGCAGCTGCAGGGTCCATGCAATTTGTACTCTTCCCCAGCTGCCAGTGGAGACAGGTCCCCTGCACTTACTGTCCATGCTGGCTGGAGCATTTCTCCCAGAGGTATACTTATGGTATCTTCTCCCCACATTCATTCTAGTTCCTTCTTCAGAAGCAACTTCAGGGAAGCCCATGATAGCTGACCTACCTGCAGTGTAGTGTTGCCATTTCCCTCTCCCAGCCTCCCAGCCTTTGGTATTCCTTGTTTATTTCTCCCTCCCTCTTATCACTCTCCAACACAATATGCTGTTTTTGTGTGTATGCTTCCACCCTAGAATGCAAGTTCCATGAAGGTAGAGACTTTACTGCTTTGTCTCTGGAACAGTCTAGTGCGTTCAGGACTGGCACTTATATAATGAAGGAAAGAGTTTTTTTCAGGCCATTCATCCACTATTCTTCTGAGAAGTGCCCACATCAAAATTTCCCTGCCTAGGGAATGTGGTATCTACCAGTGCATTTACCTAATGAGCCCTCAGCTCCTTTAAAGAAAATTGTCTACTAAAAGCTACATCATTGGTTTTTTTTTTAAAGGTGGCCTACTTCTTCCCAGAATGATCAACCAGCCTAGTGTCTGCTTTAGAATTTGTATCTGTCACATTTAGAAAAGTCACATTTAGAAAATAGTCCCTGAACCATTTGAACCCTGAAGTTCAAAACAAAATTATTTGGCTCCAGCATTTTAGCTCATAGGGAAGAACCTTGATGGCACTGCAGGTTCTTGGCCTGTGCATAGGACGCTGTGAGAGGACCATAGCAAACAGCCTAGCCCCAGTTACTGCACACACCTCTGACCCATGACCACTGTCACAGGTTTGGGAGAGATCAGAAACCAAAGAGGAATGGCATGCTTAAGCATGGCTGTTATCTTAACAAATGCTAACAGTAAGCATGCTTGAGGTTCACATTCACTTCCAGTAGGCACTTGTCCCCTCATCTGTAATCAGTGAGACGCTCTCTTTCAGTCAGCAAGAGCTATAGAGAACAACTACAGAAGGAGAATCTGAATCAAAAAATTATTCTTAATTTTCCATGTGTATAAACTTCATATGCAAGAGAAAAACTCCTATTACTGTAACTCATGTATGTAGTCCTTCTGCCAGGGCTTATCACACGAAAGGTACAAACTCTAGAAATGGAAGTATGTGAACTCTCTTCAAGACTGATTTTTATTTACTTAGTGTATGTGTGAGGGGGAGGTATGTGTGTTTATGTGTTCTTGTACGTGTGTGCCTCTGGGTGTGTGTTTGTGTGCATGCACACGCAAGTGTACAAGCCAGAGGTTAACTTCCAGTATCTTCTTCAGTTTTTCTCCATCTCATTTTTGAGATACACTCTCTCTCTATCACTTAGCTAAGCCCTCAATCCTAATAGTTTTTATTACATTCAAATTTAAAATTTTAAATAGCAAAATGCTAACCTAAAGTTAAAAAAAAAAAAAAAAAATAAGATGAGGAGAATCAAGATGATGCTTGCTGTTGGCCAGGCTCTCAGCAGTGGAAGCAACTGTAGCCTCAGCCAGAACTGTGATCTCTCCTGGTAGTGAGCACACCTCTCTTTTGGCCTGGTGAGGTGGGATCTAGGGAGAATCACGGTGTTGAGAGGAGGCTGTGAGGAACAGCAAGAGACCAATGCTCGCACCCGGCACCCGGCACCGGGCGGAACACCATGACTGAGAGCATAAAGAAACAGACCCTGGACTCAGGGAAGAGTCTAGACAATAGTACACAAAAGGCCAAGACAATACCTCGGCCCTGCTCCCAGGTGGGTGCAGTGGGAAGTGAGTATCTACTGATGGTGGAGTGATGGGAGAGAAAGAAGAGAGCAAATAGGTGGAGAAATGGAAGACCAGCAGTTGGTGCGCTGTGAAGGGAGGTGGAACGGGAGATGCGAAGGCGGTTGCTGGTCTCGCTCCTTGGGAAAAGGTGAATTACACTGCCTGTCACGAGAGCTGTGACAACACAAGTGCTAATGGGCCTCTGCCTTCTTCCTTTGAGAAAACCGACCACCCAATGAGTCGCTGTGACTCCCAGAGCTGCATCCTAGCCCAGGAAGAAGAGCAGTGCATGCGGAATGGGACAGCTGACTGGACATGTCCTGCTGTATTTGCTTCTCATCAATGGCCTGACTGCTAATCTCTAGTTGTATGGCGGTTCAGCCAGGAGACTTGACAACTCCATGTTGGACTGCAGTTTTACTGTGCTGCATCTAACTTCGGCCAGAGCTTTAATCCCTTTGGAAGCTTTGGGTTGGATGAACACTTGAAGACACCCAGAGACCCTTCCTGAAGCCACACAGAGTGGGCGGGAAGAAGACACCCAGAGACCCTGCCCAGTGTGTGGCCCTATGTGGTGGAGAGATGGGGAGGAAGAGAAGCAGAATAGCTTGTGCTCTGTGAAGAGAGGTGGATCTGGAGACTCAAGGGTAGAGAGGAACATCCTAATGTGAGTAGCTTTCAAAGCCACCTGAGGCCATGGTGAAGTCCTGGTCCGTGATGTTTCTGGGTCCATGACCATGTAGCAACAAAGGTCTGTTTTTGATGTCCATAGTCCAGTTACTACCAAAGGCCATGTGGATGTCCCTGGTTTCGACTCTTTGCTGCCTAGGACCACATTGATATCGAGTGACTGCACAGAGTCGGCCCCCTCTCCTGGCTACCTGCAATATTGGGTGAGTCAACCAGGGAACTGCTAGAGATCTCACCCTGGTGGTAAGGATGCAGGAGAACTGGCAGGCTGACCCAACTCAGCCTGGTCCAGATCCAAGGCTATCAGTTAGCCCACTCCAACATCCACCCCATCCATCTATGATCTGCTAGAGCACATGAAAGGGCCAGTTCTGCAGATCCAACGCGGCAGGATCTCCATGACACAGGGCAACAACAGGATATCTAAGAGGAGTCCCCGAAGACCCTATATTAATAGTGTACCAGAAGCCAGAGGCCTCGAATCAAATCAGTGACCCTTTGCAATGAACATTTGTGAATAAAGATGTATGGACTAAAGGGTACATGACTCACTGTAACACACCACAGCTTCTGTGACAAGATCTTATTATTTTTTTTTTATTTTGAGGGGAGGTTGCAAGGGCAGAGGGTGGGTATAGAAGGAATGAGGGTATTAGTGGAATTGGATATAGGATGTGCAACCCACAAAGCATCAATAAGATTAAGAGAAAAAATTTGGAAGACTCATCCATTACGGGTATCACTACTCCCTGGGTTTGGATCTTGTACTGTGTAAGTGTAGGGATGGGACTGAACACAAGCACGCATGCATTCATTTATTCTCTCTGCTCTTGACTGGGAAGGCAACCAGCCACTTCAAATTCCTCCCTTGACTTTTCAGCAGTGATGGACTATAACCTGGAATTGTATGCCAAATAAACTTTCTCCCTTAAATTAAAAAAAAAAGTTGAAAACTAGGAAAAATGAAATCTCTGATGATAGAAAACTGTTGAAAGATAAACAGGTTTACAGAGAACATACCCAATCATCGTCTGTAACAGAAGTAACAGAAGCACTTTCGTGCTGGTCCATCTCCATATGCCATCAGTGCACAATGAAATGGGCTGCCTTTCCAAATACAGCCAGAGAGCTTTGTCTCCTGTAAGGGAAATGTGCTCAGAACACTACAACCCTAAGCATCCAGACAGGGTGAGCATAACTTAGTGGCAGCACTTGGGAAGCGTTGGGAGGATGCTCACCTTGAACGGCCCAGCTTATTCTACATAAGGAGTTCCCCCGACTAGCCAGAGCTGGGTAGTGAGACCTTGGTTCCAAGCACCAAGCCAACACAAATGGCCAAACAGAAAGTGAGATTCTTTGTTTGCGGGCAAAGTCACATACAGTGTGTGTTTATGCTGGTGTTTTAAGAGTGGGGAATGAAGCCTATCTGGACGGCCTGCAGGTGGCAGCTGCAGGTGAGTTTCAAACCCAGTGTGATCTCATGCAGTTGCTAGTATTTCACAGCAGGCATGTTTGGTTTTGTTCTCAGAGAAGGCGCTGTTGTTTACACTTTGAAGACAGTAAAGAGTATCATTCTCCTGCCTGTACTGGGCCTTGGTTTCCCAGTTCTGCTTATGGCTTAGCGCCCTTTCTTAACTGCTTCAACTGTCAGTATGTCACACTGTTCCTTAATTTAATTTTGCCCTCAATTTGGGTTTCATTTCAGCTTTTTGTTCATTTGTTTTTGCGATATTTGGGATTGAACCTAGGACTTGGCATGCTAGGCAGGTTCTATCCACATCTCTGCTGCTTCATTCATGAAGAGAATGACTTAATGTTTGCTCTCTCTGCCCAGCCTCCCATAAGCCACCAGATTCTAGGCTTCTAGGTTTCTTCCCTAGATCTGTGCAGCATCTTTCATCTACCTCCTTAAAGAGAGCTGTAAGCAGCCTCTGGAAAACCGAGTCTTGACTCTGTATATAGTCCCTTGCAGTCTGTTGGTTTTTAATGACCCTTCAGGTTGGCATGAGAAGCCTGCCATCACTGCCATACCCTTTCCTGTCTGCCCACACTTAGTCACAGCCACTCTTAACTTCCCAGCAGTCCTTGGATAAATGTTTCCCTAATGGTTCTTGCTTTTGCCTCTTCTTCCTATGCCTCTCCCTCTCATAATGACTGAGCAATTCCTATTCTCTCTCGGACACCTCCCACACCCTCTACTCAATGAGTGATCTGGTCACCCCCGTCTGGGGCCCTCTAGGTGGAATCACAGGCCTTCTTTTACATACATGTGTACTGTGCTTTCCTGAATTAAGCATATTAGCCTCTCCCAGCTTCCCCCCACCCTTAGCTGAGAAGGAGGGACTTCAAACCAGTGGTTCCTCCCTAGCACCGTGTAGAAGACACTCAAGTATTCCTTGAGCCAAGTATGTTTTCACTGTGACATCTGCTTCTCATTTGAACAGGACTTTGTCACTTTTAGCCATTTGATGATCTGAGCTTTCATGGCAAGAAGCCTGAGAGACCTTCTCATCAGCTCTCTGTGCTTCCTCCCTTAGGCCTCCGATGATGAGTCCTACATCAGCGACGTGAGTGATAACATATCTGAAGACAACACCAGTGTGGCGGACAATATTTCTCGGCAAAGTATGCATCATTTGAGCAGCCAGGTTGTTTCTATCTACATGCCAAGTTTCAACCCCGGTGAATTACTAGCCAGTCATTCCCTGTTCTTCTCATCAATTATCCCCCCCCCTTCAGTTAGTTATTGATAGCTTTTCTTTTGCATAATCTATCAGTCTGTGCAATTGTAAAAATCTGTTGGGTGTGTGGTGAGGAAGAGAAGGTTTACCTCTAATTTAGACCCAAATGTCAAATCCCTCTCATTAAAATACACACACGCACACGTGCACACAGTGACACACATACACACACACACACACACACACACACACACACGGGAAAGAAAGTGTGTGTGTATGTGTTTTAAATAATATTTGAGTATATTTAAAACTTCACTTAAAAACCTACTCTGATGTCTTGTGCATTTGTTCTCAACTTCATATAGAAACGATCCTGTGTGTTAAAGAGGCTGTGATTAGATGTGTGTTAAAGAGGCTGTGATTAGGTGTGTCACAGTCAGAATTCTATGGAAGGGTTCTCTTCCACTCTGACTTTATGAAGCCCGAGAGGAGATGCATCTCTCACTGTGTTTCTTCCTCTCCCAGTCCTGAATGGGGAGCTCACAGGAGGTGCCTTCAGGAATGGCCGCCGCACGTGCCTGCCTGCTCCTTGCCCTGACACCAGTAACATTAACCTGTGGAATATCTTGAGGAACAACATTGGCAAAGATCTGTCGAAGGTCTCCATGCCTGTGGAGCTGAACGAGCCGCTCAACACCCTGCAGCACCTCTGTGAAGAAATGGAGTACAGCGAGCTCCTGGACAAGGCCTCAGAGACTGACGACCCCTACGAGAGGATGGTAATGAAGGGCGGGGCAGCTCCCTCTCAAGACTTGAGCTAGGCTACAACCATCCTGCAGACAACTTTTCCATTTGTGCAACATTCACACTGCATAGGCATTAGAGAAGATTTGGTTTGTGTACATAACTAAGCATGGCCAGAAAGTTCTAGATACTCTTATTGGAAGCTAGCTGTGTTGTGGGTTTTCACTAGACTCACACAGGGATCTCAGCCATTGTCATTGCCATATGGAGTCAATTTGCAAATGTGTTGAGCCTTATCCATAGCTATCCTGAGATGCATGTTGACCTTGAGCTGCAGGTTGGTGACACCTGCTGGCCTGGAGTATTCCCTAAAGTTTGGCAAAGAGATTAAAACCTCCTTAGAGGTTAAAAGCCTGCTGAGTCTTGCTTTGTCAGCTAGTCCTGTGTGCCAGGAGAGCCCATCTGCTCAGGAGAGCAACTCGCTGTTGGTACTTTGTCCTCTACACCATAAGGCTGGAAAACTTGACCTCTGCTCTAACCAGCACCAGCAGCCACACATTCATGCCTGTGGGGCCCACGACATGGCTAACAAACTGGCTTCCAGAACCTTGACATCTATGATAGTCAGGAGTGGGTGGACACATGAATGAAGAGCACTTGACTTCAGTTGCCTGACACTTCTCACGGGGGTCGTTTAACTTACGCCTGCCTGTATACTGATACAGATTCAAGTGATTGAAAATACAAGTGGCATCAACTCAGCACCCCTCAATATGGAGTGTATACAATCTGTAGGGATAGAGACAGACGGACCCGAGTGGTCTCCTGTCCTGCATCGTGCTCCTTTCTTGATGTCTTCACAGGTTCTCGTTGCTGCATTTGCAGTCTCAGGGTATTGTTCCACCTACTTCAGAGCAGGAAGTAAACCATTCAACCCCGTCCTGGGGGAGACATATGAATGCATACGAGAAGATAAGGGGTTCCGGTTCTTCTCAGAACAAGTAAGTGAGGTTGCTGTCCCAGTTAAGAGGACAGTTTCGTGAAGAGAAAAGCCTTAATAGCTGTGCGTTTGGGGCAGGCTATCTTACCAAGTTAACGGAAAAATAATAATGTAATTTTAATTGCATCATCACCCCCTCTAAGTGTGTGTAAGTTCTCTGTGTTTACCCACAATATCTTAAATATTAATGGCATAATTTTGAGATGGATTTATTATTATAACTGGATACTCTAGCTTTCATTGGGGGGAGGAATGATTTTATTTTTAAAACAATATTGTTGATGATCTAGGCATGGTGGTGCATGCATGTAATCACAGCACTGAGTGGAGGCAGCAGGATCAAGGCCAGTCTTAGCAATGCTGTAAGTTTGAAGCCAGACTGAGCTACATGAGACCCTGTCTCAAAAAGCAAAAACATCACTTATAGAAGTTGGAATACTAGGATCATTGCTCTCTCTCTCTCTTTCTCTCTCTCTCTTAAATTACCAGGTTAGCCATCATCCACCCATTTCTGCCTGTCACTGTGAATCGAAGAACTTTGTGTTCTGGCAAGGTTTGTATTTTGATTACAATCGAAAGTCAAATGTATAATAAGGCTATGGAATATTTCTAGCTACTCAAAATACACTGCACTCAGTTTGATTCCTGCCTTGAGAGCTCAGAGACTATTAGTAAATGTTGATAGGGATCATCTTCAGGAATTAAGTTCTCCAGCTTAATATTGTTATCTTGGGAATGAGATACTGAGCCTGTGGAATATCAGCTCCATGCTGTCCATTCCAGCCTGGAACGTTGTCTCGTTGTGCTTTGTGGGCTTCTATACTGTGGTGCTGACATCTGTTGCCCTTTTACTCTTGGAGTATGTGCAGAGATTTTAATCCCAAAGAAATGCTTACTGGTATATCTGTCTGGACATCTAGTCAACCCAGCATGTCCATGAGCATGTGTAGAGTCAGCCAACCTAGATGAACAACACTCAGAAAAACTATCTGAATATGTATAAGGAATAGTTTTCCTTTATTCCCCAAGAAATGTAACAGTAAGCAGCCATTTCCTTAGGATTGACAGTGCATTAGTTCTTACAGGTGATCCAGAGATAATTTCAAGTATATGAGAGCAGTGTGTCTTTTAAATGCAAATATCTTACATTTTTTTATATAAGGGGCATGAGCATCTGTTCATGGTGCAACATGTAGCTGTTCTGAAACACCCCATCCCCTAAGTGGCAACAGTTTAAACACTAAAGTGATTCGTGGTCTTTTGACTCTTTGGAGCTTGGACTTTGAAATGAAGTCTCTCCTAATTAAGGCCTATTGTTGTGGTGTAATTTTTGCAGTCTTACCAAAAATAAAATTTCAAAACCACCTTAGGAAAAAAGAATGCATTTACTGACTTGATTATTAAGTGCCAAACAGTCTTCGCTTGTGGAAGGTGCTTTGTTGGTCACAGGAAGTGTTACCTTACCTTAAGAGCACACAATGACAGAATACTGTAACTGAACTTTATGTCAAAAATAAGAAAATAAATTAATTCTTGGTTATAACCAAGAGTCAGAAGTTTTATGAAGACAGCCCTAAGCTCCCTTAGTTTATCCAAATGGGACCAGGTGCTTATTACAGATTTGCAGGTAGGGCTGAGTCTCCACATGGAAAACATAAAGCCATTGAATAAGAGAAAGTGATGGGCCTCAGACTGTCTTGCCAGTTCAGAGTTGTATTAGAAAGTGCTGGGCCTTAGGCTGTATCATAGCCAGTGTAGAGACGTGTTCATTAAGTTCTTCCCAAGTGCTCATAAATCTTCACTATATGTAAAGATTTTAGTTTATGTTTTTATCTTTTGCTGTTCTCCTGAGACATACAACTTCACACAGGGGGGGGGGAGATGTGTTATAAGTCAGTGGTATTACCATACTGCAGTTATTTTTACATATATCAGGCTTGATATATATGGTGACTTTCTATCATTTAGTCAAGACTTAGTATTTATTACTATCTGGAGATGAAAGCACCATGGGGTCTATGTTCATATGCATATGTATGTACCTCCCACATATATGTATTTTATTCTGGATTCTAGAATTTGTTTCATTAAATGGAAACAAACAGGGAACATGATGATGGGGGAACAAATAATGAATCTGGGATGATTCACAATATTTTCACCTTGGCTATCTTCAGATCCTTGTGGTGTTAAATCATAGAACAGAATCAGTTATAATAGCAAAAAGGCTTTGTAAAATACAACATTAGTTTTTACAGAAGTGATCAAGCCTGGAGCGTTAAATTTTTGTCCTCTCACTATCTCGTTTAGATATCAGATGGAAAAATAAATTCTGGGGGAAGTCGATGGAAATCCTACCTGTCGGAACCCTGAATGTTATGCTTCCAAAGTAGGTTGCTCCCCTCTCTTCCCTCTCGGGCTTCTTAGCTGCTCTTGCAGTCCAAGTGGTATTTGGAAAGGGTCAAAGGGTTCCATTTCCCTGTGTGCACCAAGTCTCTGTTACCTTCAGCATGAGTTGTTCAGTATGGACTCCCACAAAAACAACCTTGGCCCATGTGCCACAGCTTCTTGCTTCTCTCCTGGTATCCTGTTGGTCAGCCCAGAGAAGCCACCTGCCATGTTCTCACCACCATACTAATCTACATTTTTACTAGCAAGCTCTCCCTTTATTGGTTTCTTTTCTATTCTAGTTATAATTTCACCTTTATTAGATAAAGGTCCTATTTTAAGTTCCCAAATTATTTATAAAAAAGTCATGACAGAATCCTCTTATGCCGTTTTTTTTTTTTTTTTAATATAAAAAGATTTAGAAGAGGTGGGCTACAAATATTTTTAATTGACTTGGTTTGTATTGAAGACAAAGATGATTTTTTTTGTTTTGTTTTTGTTTTTGTTTGCTTGTTTGGTTGATTCGGGTTTTGTCTATTTGGATGGTAGGATGTGCTGGGGTGTGGAACTAAAGAGATGGCTTGTTGTAAAAAAGCACTTCAGCACAAAAGGACCTGAGTTCTAATCCCCAGAAGCCATATACATAGCATGAGTGTCTGTAATCCATTTGGGGGAAGATAGAAGGTAGAAACAGGAGAATCCTCAGAAAAACAGGCTAGCCAGCTTGCAATATGCAGCAGAGAAACAACAGTGTGACCCTGTCTCTAAGCAGAAGGCAAGACCAGAACCTGAGGCCACCCTCTGACCTCACACACATGCTTGTACACACACACACACACACACACACACACACACACACTTGGGAGCACACCTGCATATGCAACCTGCAGATGAATTGGGTATGAGGAGAGGTGAGATGAAGGAGATACACTTTTAATAAGTGAAAATGCATTAAGAACAGTTTTCCCAGGTATCTCCAATAACCATATCACAAAGAAGTATTTTATTTCATTGTATAATATAATTATACTTAAAAATATACATAATGTATACACTTACATCCGATGTGTGAATGTGCCATTTCATTGCTTGGCAGAAATTCTCTACATCTCATTCCCCAGAGTGTACATTGGATTTGTGCTGTTGATATGCTTGTTAGCCTTCTCATCTTTTTCCTAAAGAATGCCTCCATCTTCCTAACTTTCATTATGATAATGTACTGTGAGAATGGTCTGAGAATAATCATTTCCAAATGTTTATCTGATTAAACTTCTTTCCTCCAGTCTTTCCACAAATACTCATTGCTTGCCAGTAAATGTAGACTCTTTGGTAGGTCATTGAATGTCTTCCCTGCCTTCCTCATGACCTGGAGCACACCACAGACAGGACCCTAGACACTAGGTTCTTCTGGCCCTTGTGTCTTATAGATGCTTTCCTCCATACACAGTGCCCACCTCCCCACCACAAACCTACAGAGCCAGCCTCATCTGGTATCTCTTGCTTATAATCAGTCCATATTCCAGCAAAGCTAAGGTCTAACCCCCTTCTATTCTCATGATGCTTTGTCCATTTGTGAAGAGTAACCTTCATGATACTTGGCGTTTTTGAGTATTTGCTTACATGTCACTGTACCCCTAGCCCCAAAGGGGCAGAAAAGAGGCATTGCTGAACTTAGCAGCTTTAGGTCCATAGAGAACACTTCATTATTCCATAAGCAAATGAATCATGCCATGCATATTTATGGCTACACAGAAGATTTTAAGAAATGAGGGGAAAAGAAGTCTTACCCAAAGAATATCTCACTTGTAGGAAGAGTGATATCAGTGTCCATAGCTTCTGATCAGTGCCATACTCTTCACAGGTATGGAGATTACTATGTGTGGAATAAAGTCACCACATGCATCCACAATATCCTCAGTGGGAGAAGATGGATCGAGCATTATGGTGAAGTGACCATTAGAAATACCAAAAGCAGCGCTTGCATTTGCAAACTCACATTTGTCAAGGTAAGAAGCACCGCAGAACAGAAAAGGAAGGACTGCACAGAATGCTTCCTGAGGAAGAAATGGAAGGAAATCTACCCTGTATCACATCATAGGGCATTTTAGACAAGAGAGCACAATTGATTTACAGAGCTGAGTGAGGAATGAAAACTTCTGAATTTGTGGAGGTCAAAAATATCATGTCAAAGGATAAATAAGTTTATTTTTAAAGAATCTTGTTTTTACATAACCAGCCAGGATACTAAGTAAACTTCTAGAACATATTACATTCCTATATTGAGTCCTCTAGTTTCTATTTCTGCCTGATTACAGCATAAATATATATATATATATATATATATATATATTCTTATTTAGGGTTCTGATTTTAATACAGTTGTCAGTTCTTGAAAATATTTGAACAGAGTCATGTAGATGATAGCTACCAATCATTCCAAACTCATCTAACCTGTTCTCTAGCAAGCCAAGAGAAAGTGTTACTTTTATTTACTAGGAAAAGATTATAGGAAGAAATGTCCACGGAACACCATTTTACCTAATCACACTGGTCTGAAGTAGAAATACAGCACACAACCAGGTTTGTTTTTAAGTACATTATAGGATTTACCAATTATTTTTCTAGCTTGTCCAGTTGAAGTTCATTAAGACCCATGAGCAAAGAGAGAATCTAAAGACAAAAATCACTAACCTGCGAGTTAACATTGGGTTCTTTTGCTAAAAACTGATCTAGAGCTAGAGAGATTGACGTGCTATCGTACTTGTATCATAGAGCAGAAGTTTGGGGTGTTTGTTTTTGTCCTGGGAATCAAATTCTGGATCTTGTCCATGGTAAGCCAGTGCTCAGAGTGATACCCCCAGGCCCAAGACTACAAACTACTTAGAAATTAATCTAACCAATTACTGTGGCACACACTCTAATCCCAATGGGAGTTTTGTGCTGACCTGGGCTACACAGGAAGTTCCAGGCCAACTTAAACTACATTAGTGAGACCCTATTGAAATAGAAAGCAAGAAAGGCAGCCTTCCCTGTGTGTGAAATGTGCTGAGCTACCTTCCAAGGGAAAGAACAACCTTCCCTGTGTGTGAAGTGTGCTCAGCTACATTCCAAGGGAAAACATTTTGCATCTAGAGAGAACAGGTTGGTGTTACTAAAGCCCTTGGGTTGCCTGTTTTCCAGGTGAATTACTGGAACTCGAATGTGAATGAAGTCCAGGGGGTGGTGATAGACCAGGAGGGGAAAGTGGTACACCGGCTCTTTGGGAAGTGGCATGAAGGGCTCTACTGCGGGGTTGCTCCCTCTGCAAAGTGCATTTGGAGACCAGGTGAGATGGCCTGAGCTTGATCGGGAGGCTGTGGGCAACAGAAGGGAGGGAACGGTGGAGCATATCATTCAGTTTGTGTTGCATTTCATTTAGTAATGAAATCTAAAATGTAAGTGCTCAGGGCACTCGCAGTTATATTTACTCTCAACAAATAAGGTATACTTGATGATTAAGAAATGGACCAAATCATTGACATGCAGTAAACTGACCTGTTAAAATCTGCCATGGGAAATTGCTTTAAACATAACTCATACATGCAAATGCTAGGTGTACTAAGTAAAGAGTTTAAATAATTGAAATACATAAGCAAGCCCTTGATCATGTTGTTTACTTTTTAAATAAATCAAAGGGAATGTAATACCTGTAATCCTAGCTTCCATAACTTCCCACAGTGAGTGATCTTTTTCACTTGAGAAGCAAAACTGCTACATGCTGACTCGTAACAAAAGACATCAGCAGAGCCCAGGCACTGCATTGGCATATAACTGAATACAGAGTATCAATGGTGAAAGAAAAAAAGCACCATGTGACATTTATTTTCATTGGAATTTGTCAGGTAATCTCCAACTTTTACAATTAGCTATTGGTTCCCAAAAGACACTGTTAAGTGTTTATAAACACTTCCAGGTGGGATGGTGCATATCTGTAGTCCTCATACTTGGGAGCCTGAAATAGAAGAACTGCAGAACCCAGGAGTCAATACGAGTCTGGACAGCAAAGTGAGATAGTATTAAAAAGAAAGGAAGGCAGGGAAGGTAGAATGGGTGGGTGGGTGGGTGGGTGAATGGGAAGGTGGATGGATGGACAGCCAGGTGGCTGGCCCCATGGAGAGATGGGTGGCTCTCAGGGCTGGCAAGATAGCAGCAGGTTACAGACACTTGTGCACAAACCTGACAACCTGAGTTTAGTCCCACAAGTTGTACTCTATCTTCTCATCTCTGCACACATGCTATAGCTCAAACTGTGCATGCACGGGTGTGAGACACACACACACACACACACACACACACATTTTTTAAAATGGAATAAAAAATATTAAAGGGCCCACGTGATGGCTCTGAAGGTAAAGGGGCCTCCTGCTAGTACTGAGTTGTCTCTGAAATCCACATGGTAGAAAAGGAAATCATCGGGATTGGAGAGATGGCTTAGCAGCCAAGAGCACTTACAATTCTTCCAGAGGACTGGACCATTCCCAGGATCTATGTGGATCATGAGTACCTGCATTGTATGCACCTCTAGCTTAAAGAGATCCCACATTCTTCTCTGTTCTCTGTGGGTACCCACACACACATTATATTTCACTGAGACACACATACATAAATAAAAATAAGCTTTGAGAAAAACAGATAAAACTGAGCCAAAGAAAGACACCAAGCATATGATGTTCTCCCCACACACACAGAGAATAAGTGTTAAAAATAATTTTTAAATGTTTTGAAGGAATACTAATAATAATTATACCTGCATCTTTTTAATGAGGTAATAAATGGCAGGTATTTCTAGTGAAATGTTAATGTTTGTAGATAACTAGCCTGGTCTTTAGTTACCTAATTAAATATGTGAGAGGAAAATCTGTGTTCAGCCAAAGAAGATTATTAATGTGACACAAAGTTTTGTTTAAAGGAAGGATTTTATTAAATATGTTGATCTTTCAGTTCTGACCATCAACATAAACTTTCTCACCTAGCAAAATAGAAGCAGTTTGATTACGCGAAAGGAAGTCACAGTGTTGCTTTCATGAGTAGAAGCCTGTCTGTAAACTGGGCTCTCATTAAGTGCTCTTCCTGATGAGGGAAGTCGGCTCCTTCCCTCCGTGCCAGCCTTTCCCACTCTCAGCTGTTCTCGGCCTCTCTCCAGGTTCTCTGCCAACCAACTATGAGCTCTACTATGGCTTCACGAGGTTTGCTGTGGAGCTCAACGAGTTGGATCCTGTCATGAAGGACCTTCTTCCTCCCACAGATGCTCGATTCCGGCCAGATCAAAGGTCAGGGTTGCAGCAGAGGTCACTGGGTCTCTTTTCCCTATCACTTGTTTGCTCCTTCATGCATTCTTTCATTCCCGTATTCACTCAGAAGTAAATACCTGGGTTTCTTACTCTGGGCAAAATGCCATGTGTAGGATGATTGTAACGGAAACATACTCAATGGCCATCCACCAGAGAGCTTCATATTTACCGAATGTCTGAGAACTCAGGTGGTCACTGTGTCATCGTGCTCACCCTGTGCTTTTGACCTCTTTACACATACTGCCCTGTAACATGGAGTGTCATTTAAGTTGAAGGTAAGAGTGTCAGGAGAACCTGGAAGTGATCTGATTGAAAATGGGGCTTTCTCCACATACCTTAGTCCCAGAAGGTATGGGATTGTACTTAAACTGCCAAAATCATTTTTTTTGTCATTTTTATATAATCATGATGTCCACTTCTACAGAATTCATTTTCATTTCCCCTAAAATTATCAGCCATCTGCATTCCATCAAGGATCAGTTCTCTGTTTCCCATGTATGTGTGGAGTTTTTCCCTCCTAAAATGTTTTTGGTATGGATTTTCATTTCATCCTGTTCTATATGATTCAATGTACACTACTAAAAATTGCAGCTTATGTTATTCCCAGAGTGTGTATCCCACTGATTGACATTTAATTCATCAATTAACTTTGTACAATGGGTATTGTATTATGCCCCTCTCCTTTGCTATTGTTTTGAAATGTAAAGGGGTGTGTGTGTGTGTGTGTGTGTGTGTGTGTGTGTGTGTGTGTGTGTGTGGTGGCAATCCGACCCAGGGCCTTGTGTATGTTCAGTAAGTTCCTGTCTACCACAGAGCCACATGCCAGCCATGGATGTAAACATTCACAAATCATCATTGGGTCCGTTTTCACCTTCTCAATTCTGTTTCAGTATACCTTCTTTTCCATCATGCTAATGCTCCCCGGTAAAAGAGAAAAGCTTCTTTTCTCTCAATCTGTTCTCTGAATGGAGGACAGCCAGTCACCGTCTAGCACATCTAGCATACCACAGCCTTTAACAAATACATTAGGCACTATGAAGAAAGGAACACAACTTGTGACTTCATGTTGTTCTTATCCTTGACTGCCAATCTCCAGAAAAACAAAAACAAACAAACAAACCACAACAACTGAGGCTAGAGAACCCCAGACAGTACAGAGAGGTGTTCAAGGCTAAACCAGTCACCTGCCCCCTTATCATACTTTGTGTTCCTGAATGTAGGAATTCATCCCACATGTACAGAAACTGTATCAATTGATGAACAGACCGAGAGCATATGGCCTGGCGCAGAGGTGAAGGGGCATCAGCGGTGTCACCACTGTTCAGGATGTTACGTCCTCAGCAGCCAGCAGGTTGTTTTATGCCATTTTATTTCTAAAAGATGTTAACATTGGAATATCAACTGTATTCTGCTTAGATTTTTGGAAGAAGGAAACTTAGAAGCTGCAGCAGCAGAGAAACAAAGAGTTGAGGAACTCCAGAGATCTCGTAGACGATACATGGAGGAAAACAACCTTGAACATATACCAAAATTTTTTAAGTAAGTCAGCCATTCCTACAGCAAGTTCATGTTTTACAAAAGGTTGCCATAAACCTTGAGGAAATCTTGGTAAGGAGAAAAAAAAAAGAGAGAGAGTTGCACAGTGTCCAGAGACCTTAAACTGATTTGGGTAACTTTACACTGGATAGTGAAAATACTGAATTGGGTTTTGTTCGTGTACAAGTGAGTTGCCATAACAATCAGTTCTTCTCAATGGGTCTTTCTTTCTGTGCACAGTGAGAGAGAGAGAGAGAGAGAGAGAGAGAGAGAGAGAGAGAGAGAGAGAGAGAGAGGAGAGGATCTTACCAAAGTCTGGATCCTTTGGAGTGGCAGAACAGTATTCCGGCTTCTCATGCAGGCAGTGGTTGGGATTCTATCCCCAAGGGCACCATGACTTCATTAGGATTTCATTTTATTTCTGTCACACAGCTTGTTTCTGTTCATATTTAGCCCCACTGTGCTTTGATCAAAGATGATTAATACAGGATTATTTAAAGGATTATATAAACATCACGGAGATGACTGTGTAGTTTCCAGAACCATCATCTGTCATCCTCCTGAGTATGCACAGAAAAGCTCAGGGCAGCACCCTCCCCCTTAGAGCTGTCATCTCATGGTCCTCCTGTGGTGGCAGTGCATGCAGACTTGCCCTTTGGAGGTCTGCTGTGTGCCTACCAGAGGTCTGCAGTGTGTCCTTCCTGCAGGGCTACGGGTGCCCTTCAGATGGGCTGTAGTGTGCCCTTTGGGGCTGCAGGTGCCCTTCAGGTACACAGTGTGCTCTTCAGACATGGGTCTCACAGAGGTTTTTGCAGCTATTGATGTTGCTCTGTTCCTGGGAGGAAACTCTTCCTTGCCATGCTCATAGAGCTGTATTTGGGCCTCGATGCTTTCTCCCCTTACCCAGAGGTACTTAGAGGAAATTAGTTACTGCCCTTCTTGCTTTTATTTCAATCATTTAATGACAACAGTCACTTTATTTCTGGCCAGAAATTGCCAATTTATCAATTGCTAGTAGATCGCATACTAACTATATACACATTATTTGAGATATATATATATATACACACACACACACACACACACACACACACACACACACGTGTGTGTGTGTGTGTGTGAGAAAGAGTTATCAGCTGACCTTGATATGATTTGTGGCTAACACTGATTTTCATATTTTCACAGAAAAGTTATTGATGCAAATCAAAGAGAAGCCTGGGTTTCTAATGACACCTACTGGGAGCTTCGGAAGGACCCTGGGTTTAGCAAAGTAGACAGCCCTGTTCTTTGGTAAACTGGAGAAATAGAGCTAGCCAACACACCACACTCCGAATGAATAAATAACTATGCACAATTATGTTTCTTATAGCTACGCGTGGTTTCTGGGTCGACTGAAAACCTCCCATTTGCTTTTCTATTCATCTTTATAATGGATTTTCAAAAGTGCATTAGACAAGGCTCCTAACCACTTTTGGATCCTTTCTGTTTTGCTGCAACCATATTCCTTAAAAATAAAATACAATAATAAATAAATAAATAAATGAAATGAAATGAAATCCATGCCCTCCTCGGAAAGCAGACCGAAAGAAGGGAGTATATGGTCCACAGGCAGAAGAATTGATCAGGAAGATCAAACTGTAACCAACCGGTGCTTCAAGCAGATCAGGAGGGCATAAAATGACATACAAACTACGTGTTTGGTCTGCTGTTTAAAAGCCTCATCCCCTACCTTAGGAGCTCCTGGGCTGTAGTGGTCGGTTAGTTCAGACTTGAAGTGTGTTTTTTGATGTGGTGTGCTTGTACCAGCCTCGTCAAAATAGACATGATGCTTCCGGAAACTCATTCCATCTTTACAACATTGTTCATGCCTTAAGAATTGCAAAGATGTACAATAAAGCATTTTTTTTAATGTGTGCTCATAGATATATGTGAAGGACAGACCATCAGAATCCTGACATGGATTCACTTTCTCAGTCAGAACATTGATTCAGCTGATGTAAGAGGCTTAAATAAGGAAAAACATATTTTCCTTTGCTAAGTGAGTTACGGTGTGGTGAATCTGAAGGGCGAGAGGGCTAAGGGACGGTACTCTAAGTAGATCTCTGCATCCAGGTTGCTCTTTAAGTTCCTGTTCAGTGTCCAGATAATAAACCATCCCTCCTCCATCTGACCTGACAGTGTGCCCCGGTACTTGGCAATGCTGTATTTGATTGGGCCGCCTGTCATCAGTTTTAAAACTTCATTAGGAAGTAACAAACGTTTGGAGTTTCTGCCTGGGCTGGGTGGTACCATAGAATACTGTTTTGGAGTGGCGTACAAGGCCATACCACACATCCCTGACTCATGCCCACTCCTTGCCACTGTTCAGATTCCACAAAGAACAAAAGCTTATTTGCATTATGTAAATGGATCCTATGCAAATCATCTTCCTTTTTTAAAGTCAAGAAATTCCATATGATACATGGCTACATATTAATCATCCATCTTGCTAAGGGCAGAAATAAAAAACTTAGGCCAAAAAATGTATCCATTCCAAAGGTGGGGGTGGGCAAGATTCGTTTTGAATTCTTCAGGTTTTGTTTTTCCTCCACAGGTACATAGAAGTTTTTGTAGGAAGCTTGCGTTGCCATTCTTAAGTTCCTGCACGTACATGACTATATATAAATACCTGTATGTTTAAAAAAATAAATCTCCTTAGGGGGCTCTCTAGTGAATTAGAAAATTACATATATTTTATTGTCAGAGTTTTATTCTTAAAGTCTCACCATCTGAATCCAAGTGTTATTTTAGACTCTGCTAACAATGTTATTGACATTTTATATTTTGTTCAGAGGCATCGATTTTGGTGTGATTTCTCCTCAGCAAAGCATTCCTAGTAATGGCTAATTCACCATAAAACCCAAAGCTGCTGAGAACATGGAGGAAAACTCAGAATTACCACTCTATGGAGCAGTATTTTAGTTACGGTAAAATTCATCTAAGTCCTTGCATCAGGTACACAGCTGGCACTCATTAGAATGGACATTCGCTCCCCAGTAAGTTCCCTAAGTCACAGGCAGAGCTAAGCTTTGCCTTACACAGCCCTCTCCTTGCACTCACTCCTGTTTGACATCTTAGCTGGTTTGCCTTGCAATTGTAAAATCTGCCACTTGTCAGGGACTACTTTTTTCTTCATCTAACCTGATGTCCTTTTATCTTTGCACCTTCAGCTACGTCTAATTTCAATTTGAATTAGAACTTAATTAGAGCCCTATTGACTTCCTCTCAGAAATTGATTCTCCTCCCTTGGTAAAGCTTTCAGTACAATTTAAAATGGGTCTCACCTGTACTTAGTACTATTTTCCTAAACTGCCTCACAATGGCCTAAGAAAAGAATCCTTCAGGAGAAAAGTACAATGAGGAGGGATTGGGAAGGTGAGATGATCAAAAGATAATAGGGACTGTCATTTTAACAAATGGCAGAAGACCCATCAGGGAAGAAACTAATGTGCCCAGGGTTTGGGTTATCTGAGAAGAAAGGAGAAACAATGGAATAGGCCTTAACTAGATAAATAAATAAGTTTAGATGGCAAATATGAACAGTAAATGATGGTCAGGTCTACCCTGAAACTTTCATTTGGATTTCAAGATGAAAATGAGAAAATCATCATATTAATTACAGTCACATGTTGTGGTTGTGGTACCCACCATTTTGAATCTGTTATGAGATGCAGATTCCCTAATTATGACCATCAAGTAAGCAGTTAGGCATCAGACTCTCCTGTAACACCCGATTAGCTCACCTCGCAGCTGAACCCTCCCTTGCGTTGGTGGAAGGGGCCCACCCCTCCTTGTCTTCACACAGTGGTTACAAAGTAATAATACTGTTGGAATTTCATTCACATAACATTCCTGCGATTGAAGCTAAATAGCAAAAAAGGTAGAATATTTGCTTGTTCCAATGATAAAAACACAATGTATTCCTTGAAATTTTACATGAACCTTTATATTTGTGAGGAGGGTATTAGTTTGCTTTTCCTTACAAAGATCTAGGAAGGCTTGGTATATCTGTGTTCTTCTCCCATACTTTACTTCCAAGCTCCCTCCCCTCTGGTGAGATGGTCTTTAGGGAAAGCATTAGTGACAGGAGTGCTGAGGGCCTGGGCCAGACTGGACTGATCTATGGTACCCACCAGCATTTTCAGAGGCTCACCGAAAACCAATCATTTTGATGCTCAGTGCTGCTAACCAAGGTGCAAATTTACTCTTCAGTGTTGCTGATATTTTGTTATTTTTGATTGCCATTATTTTTCATGGATTACTTTAAAATACTGTCCACAAAGTCTCCAGGTAGTTGTGAAAAATAAACTTCATTTCAGATATCTTTCAGTGGTACATGTCTGTTGTATGCAAGAGCAGGGACCAAATGTCATTTTCTGACTGAGGGAAACCCAAGGGATTTTGGGTACAAAGGATGCTGAATTGTCCATTTCCCAAACCTTTTGTGCTCTGGCCTTGTGTTTTTCTGCATGACCACTTACCATCCCTTAGATCCTGTCCCAAGGAGCTTGGAGAGGGAGGGAAGTTCTATGGAAGAAAACCCAACTAACCTGTTTTGCTTAATACTAAAGAACATTTTTGTTACTGTCTTGTGGGTTTAATTATCCATCTTGTCTAACACTGTTCTCTGTCATCGTAGATAATGAAGCATTTGTGGTAGCAGAGCTCCACATACCAGGGCGTGTAACAGATGTTTACACTTGGCTCAGTATGTAATGAATGTGGCACAGTAAATAAAGTTTGTGTACAAAATATTAGTTTATTTCTATGAGAGCAGTTATGCCCAGGATATATGAAATGTATCTAATTAAACCATTATGAATCTATTCTGTGCTCTAGAAATGTTCTTTTGGGGAAAATATGAGGGGGAAATGTGTTCATGGAGCTGAGTAAAATGTTGGTTTGTTTTTGTGAGGTTCCCCTTCCCAAAAGCCCCATGGATTTGGGGAAAGGCTCTGTATTACACCAGGATTCTATCCTCCTTGAGTTTATTTTGTAGAATGTCTACTTTGAAATTTGTACATTGCATGGCACTTTCTCAAGAGAAAAACTAGCTTCATTAACGTCATCTTTAGAACTTGCTGAGGTGTAAAACCTTTTGCCAGCATCCGCTTTTAAAGAGAATGCAAATTGTCTAAGAAGGACTTGGCTTCAGCCTTCTAAACTGGGATCTGAAAGATGAAATGCTTTAAAAATCTATGTGATGAAGTAGCATGCCCCACACATGAGCAGATAGGGCTCTGTGGTACACACAGCAGGTGTAAGAGAACTTGGTGTTTCCATTGACTTTTCAAAGTGACAAATTTCTCTCTCTAACCTCTGATCCTAACCATAGTGAAAGAGTAGATACATGTTTCTATTGTTTGACACCATATCATTGTTTGTGAAATAGACCATATTTATGTATAATTTCAGAAATTCAGTATTAGAAACTACTTCATTCACTTAACTCTTGTACACCATTCTTCATGAGTTAAGAATTTCCTTATAAACACATATTATTAGTTATTTTCCAGACTGGTAGGAAAAAGAATAACAAAATGTTCCAGGTTTTCATAAATTTTCTTTCTATCCATACCTTCCTTCTAAAACATGAGTTAGTTATGCAGGAAAGAATAGTAAATCTTTAGTAAAACAATGTGGAACCCTGCCTGGTACCCACCTGTTTCTTCTGTCATGCTAGATTAAGTAAGTAACTGAACCGAACACTGTTAAAAATGGAGCAGTGCTAAAATCACTGTTCTTTTTGTGTGCCTGTTTTCCCCTAACTTTTCATCTCCAGGTCTTCAGGAATTCAAGTGTTTGCTATGTTTTTTTTTAAACTGGTTATAACTGTTATCTAATAAATATCACATATTTGAAATGTACCACTTGGCATGTGTTGACTGCAGACACTATGACAATACCACAGTTGCAGTAGTGAACATATCCATCACCTCAAAGGTTTTGGGGGGGGGGTCTGTAGTCTTTTTCTCTCCACCCAGAGACAATTGTTGGTCTGATTTTTTTGTTGTTGTTTTTAAAGTTTGCAACCTTTCTTGTATTTATAGCATACAAGATTGGAGACCGGGAATTGTATACATATCTGCCAGCTCCTCCCGTACCATTACCATTAAATCAAGCTCCAACACATTACAAGAGGAGATGACCCCACTCAATTCTGGTTCTGGTAGCCCAGTAGAAGTTTGTAGATTTGCTTAGGAAGCTATTTTCCATATCAAAATGGCCTTGTAATATAGAGGAGTAGTTTTCAGGCTTTGAGAGACCTGAGTTAGCACCAGACTGCTGGGGGATGAGGGGTCATATAGAGGGAAATGTGACCTCAGAATGGCTGCTTTGAGATGATGGTTTGATGGTAATGATGAAGTTGATGGATGCAGAGAAGCTTCTGCAGAGCTCCTTATTACTCGCTTTAATGTGACATCTTAAAAAGTAAACTTAATTTTTAAGCTTATACACAAACCATGAAATTGTACGTGTGAATGAGGGGTCTAGTGATGTTTTTGACAGGTTAAATAGTTCTGTCTTTTCAAACATTCACTGTCTGTCAATAGTGGAAGCCTGTTCTTTTGGGATTCTGAAATATCCCATGCATTACTATAATCTACCATCCCTGTCCCCACAGTTCCATTGTCCAGGAAGTGTGTGGTGTCTTCTAATGCCCTCACTCCTCATTTAGAAACAAAGAACTAAATCTTGTTTTGAAAAGGAGATGGAAAGGAGGTTTCCTTTACCTAGTGATCTCCCACTGAGCAGGCCCAAAGTTCATTCCTGTTGTCATCTCCAAATCCTGTTACTGGAAAGTAGAAAAGTTTCCAGAGGTCATCTGATACAGCAGTTCTTTTAAACGACATGTTCTGGCTACATAGCCCTGCCTTGCTTAGAGCCCACAGAGATCTGCCTGCCTCTGGCTCCTGAGTGTTGGGAATAACTGTGTGCCCCATTCCCAGGAAATACAGCATGATTAGCATTCACTTCTAAAGGAGAAAGGAAGGAAAAGCAAAAGGGAAGTGGAGTGTAGCAGGGAGAAGTCCATTCTCCTAAGTGGTAGAGATGCTCTTGAGGGGTGTGATCCCAGCTGAACCACAAATCATCTTAGTTGTTTGATTCAGATTCCCCAGTTCTTCTCTGAAAACTAGGACTTGGGCTTTTAAAAAGACATGTCCATCCCCAGAAAGTTGGATGTGCAAGTGAGATGGAACCCCCACCCCTCCCCATGTTTTAACCTTGACCCAGCATCAGCTTTCTTTGTAGCTCTGATAGTAACAGACAGTGGGAAAGTCTTACTCAAGAACCAAAACAAGGTGTGATGTCGATCAGTGGTATAACACTTGTCTGACACATGCAAGTCCCTGAGTTCTGTCCCCAGCTGAGCAAATGAGTGCATGCTTGTAGGTTAACAAAACACACACATTCACACATAAATAAGAACTCTGCTTTGTTACTCTGTCCCTTTGATGTCTTTCTAATATCAGTACTGTGGTAAGGATGGCAAAACACTGAAATCTAGAAGATGGGTATTATCATTGGAGTGCATCTATCAAGGCAGCCTCAACCAGCCAGATAACCGGAAGCTGACTCAACACTGGAACCCATCCTTCCTCCAGACCTGGTCTGCATCTCTAGTGGGATTCTCAGTGGACTGCCAGGATCCTGGCTTGGAGGAAAGCTGAAGGGAATTCCTTCCACAACGCTGGGTCCTGATATTCCAGCAGACAATCTCAGTGCCATCCTGAAAGGGGTTCCTGTCGGAAGAAACTCCAACCTAAAATTGCTGTGCTTATATCTGAAGCCATAAAGACAGTGGCCCTCCCTGTATTGTTAGAGATTTGGTAACCTTCAGAGAGAAAAGATAGTAGAATACCAATCAACTTCCAACAGAATAAAGATTTCCTAACAACCGTAATTCACAGGGGGGCGAGGGAGGAGATTGTCTCTACTCACTCAAAATAACAACTATGCCTCTTCAAGGCTGTATACAAGAATGTTACATTTGGAACAGCCCAGGAAAATCAAAGAATTTTAAATAAATTGTAAAAAGAGATTTGTGTGCTATTCTGATGACTTTTTCACGAAATTACTGTTCACCAAAATCACTAAGTTGTGTATTCACCTCCAGAAGAGACTTCAGGTACACTGGAGAAGGTTCAGTGAGTACTCTATTTCCAGATCTTGGCATGAAGTAAGTGCACATTCAAGTAAAATGCTAGCAAAAGATCTTTTCCTGAATTCTGAGCTTCTTTACCAAAATTCTTTGAAGTCTGGCTTTTGGTACTGGAAGTAAAGCTGAATTCCACAGATTGTGGGAAACTCAAAATCTCTCAGGGGACGGTCTTTGCCTATACCTGTAGGGAGATAGTTCTGTGGCACTGACCACGCCCCTTGGGGGTGGAGCCATGGGCGGAGTGACCTGTGGAAGGAGGTCGGAAGGCGCTCTCTTTCTGGCGTGACTCGGACAGGAGAGGATCAGGTTGAATTTCCGCGATATATACCTGGACTCTTGAACCAGCCTCTGGATGCATTTCCATATGCCCAGTAGTTGTTCATTTGGAAGGTGGGTTCTCATGGAGGTTTTCATGGTGGAATCAGCTCCCATAAACCACAGACAGAATGCCCTGTTCTTAGTCTATATACATATTAAGAGTAGGTACTCAGGTTGGGCACTGGTGGTGCATGCTTTTAATCCCAGCACTCGGGAGGCAGAGGCAGGCAGATCTCTGTGAGTCTGAGGCCAGCCTGGTCTACAGAGCTAGTTCTAGGACAGACTCCAGAGCAATATAGAGAAAGAGTAGGTACTCAGCAGCCTTGACCACCAAGGCACTCTCTCTCTCTATCTCTATCTCTCTCTCTCTCTCTCTCTCTCTCTCTCTCTCTCTCTCTCTCTCTCTCTCAAGGTGAAACAAGATACTCTTTCATAGGATGTTGAAGAAAGCACCAACTGCCTCTTTGAATCATGGGTACCTCCAAATCAGCTTCCTCTTTTGTCTCTTCATTGCCCCCTCTTTTGTTTGCTTGTTCTTAGAGACAAGTCTCTAAGGCTAGCCTGGAAGCTGCAATCCTCCAGTTTCATGTTTCCAAATGTTGGGATTACAGGCATGCACAACCACAGTGGACTGGGCCTTCCTGCATTAATTAATAACCGAGACAACTTCCCACAGACCAACTTGGTCTAGGCAAACCCTCACCTGAGGCTTTCAGATGAGCGTAGGCGGTGTCAAGTTGACAGTTCAAGTTAACTAGGGCAGTGGTCATGGTTGTCATAGATCACCTTGTCCAAATACAAAATGATGCCATAGAACTGACACTAGTATGTATCCACAAGCACACAATTGTAGTTCCAGTTTCACTAAAGTGTAGCAGTGGTTACTTGATTTAGGTTTATCTTACTGACTACAAAATTAAATGACACAGCAAGGTAAACATAATTGAATTTGTGTCAACAGTCTGTTCAGAAGGAAAGCCTTCAGGTGACCTGGCCTGAGCATTCAAGGAAGTGGATTGGCCAAACTCAAACTGCTTGGCCAGGCAGTCTCCAGATATAGACTGCTGTTTGCCTGCTTTCCATGCGGGCTCACCTAACAGAATTATTCTCTTTGGAACACTGGTATATTAGGGTTCTCTAGAGGATCAGAACTGATAAAATGAATATATAAAAAGTATATACACACACATATATATGATGTATAATTAAGTTAATATATACACATACATAATTGTGTATATAATATGCATAAAATGTTATGTACATGATACATATGTATGTGTATATGTGTTAATGACAGCCAAGACTAGCCACCACAAAGGTGGAATGAAAGAAAAAATAAGT